GAAAGGGTGGAAAACACTCGGCGTGACTCACTCCGGCTCTTTTGACCACATCAGGCCACCTAAGAGTGGTCAAGCCAGCTGAGACCTGAGCACACCTTAACTGCCTCTCTCTCCTGTCCAATGCCACCCCCCTTCCCCACCAGATCCCCAGACATGGGCTTCCAAACATTGCCACCTGATGTCCCAGAGACCCTTCTGGACTTCCCAGTCCCTTGTATTAAAGTTTCCCCCAAAATTTTACGGTCCCAGAAATTTACTTTGATAGCTTTAAAAAAATCAGTTTTCTGTGAACCAGAGGGCAGGAGAGCAGGGCAGCGTTTCACGGAAGGTGAGAGCACAGCTTTGGGAATCCGGCAGACCTGGTTTGAAGCCCAGGCTTACCTCTTACTGGTCGTAGTAAGAGCCTTGGCCAAGTTAATTTATCTCCCCTCTGAGGGGACCTGGTGGTGAGCAACCTGGAATACAGTGGCTAGAAAATGCTGAGCAGCCACCGTGATGGCGATGGTGGCTCTGGTCACTTCTGCCATTGTTGGGGCCAGGATACAGCGGATTGTGACATTCCGCAACTGGTGGCATCACACGTCCACGCCTTAGAAGCAGGTCACCCGAGTGGGTTTACTGCTATCACTCTTTGTGGGGGGGGGGTGTCTAAGGCCAAGGGAAGACTGCGTCCCTACGTAGATTTTTACATTAACTAAACCTCATCAGCAAGGTTTTCCAAATGTCCCTGGTTTTATAACGGAGCCCAGACTCGTCTTCCCTTGGCTGGGGTTCCTCAACTCTCTGCCCCCCTCCAGTGCTTGAGGTAGGGGTTCAGGCTACTTTCCTTTCCAACAGCCAGGCCTGGGCAGTAGGAGCCCAAAGCAGATAAGGTACACAGAACTGTCCTGTGATGCCATCGGGGAATGGAAGGTTCTGAGTAGCCCGACTGCTGTACTTATAAGATAATGCCAAACACACAATGAAAGGATCCCTGATCTGGTCCGAGAGAAAGCTGGCCAGAGGAGGGTGCCCGGTGAGCGCCTCCCACACTCTCTAGGCAACTCCCTGCCGCCGTGTGACCTCTCCGTGCCTTGTGTCCGCACGGCCCAGAGGTCCTTGGTGATCTTCCTTCCTCCCCACTGTATAGAGGCAGCGGCGCGGCCCCTGGGAAAGGCCGTCGGTGCCGAAGGCAAGAGAGGTAGGTGTGCCCGGCATTCCTGCCCTGCACGTTTCTAGCTCTCGGAGTGTGAACAGGTGAGCTTGCTCGCTGACCCCCACCCTGAGAAGGTGGAAGAGGAAGTCTGCCCCCCTCCCCCCGAGGGATGCCGGGGGATTAAATGCAGTGGCATCTGCTAAATGAACGGTCCACCAGAAGGTAGAGCACATAGGAACAACCTTCCCTTGACCTTGAAAGATATAAAGACAGGATCAGGATTCTGTAATGGAGCTTGCTAAGAGATGTGATGATGGTTCTTTTATTAAGAATTCTTAAAAAGTCACTGAGTCTTGATTCCTAGGATTAAAAGGGGCTAAATAGGGGGCGCCTGGATGGCTCAGGGGGTTAAGTGTCCAAATCTTGATTTTGGCTCAGGTCATGATCTTGCAGTTCATGGGATCGAGCTCTGCCTTGGGCTTTGCCCTGACACTTCAGAGCCTCAGAGCCTGCTTGAGATTCTCTCTCTTCCTTTCTCTCTGCCCCTTCCCCACAAACACACACACTCTCTCTCTCTTTTTCTCAAAATAAATTTAAAAAAATAACTTAAAAATAGGGGGCTAAGTGGCTGGTCTTTGGAGACTATCTTTTTCACTCATCTCGCTTTGCAGAGGAGTAAACTGAGGCCCAAGTTCTCACAAAGGAAACAGCATTGCTCCAAAGACCAAGGGGAAGGTATGAGGCAAATTCCAGCTCTGATCCTTGATATCCCAAAGAAAAGGGAGAAAGAAACCAAACGTTCAGAGCTAATTTTAATTAACTCATTTCTCTTTTGCCCTTTCTTTATTATTCCTAGAAGCAATTATATGCCTCATACTCTCTCTCCTACCTCCAGCCCGTGCATAAAACTGTCACCGATTAAATCAGATTTTCAGCCATTTCATTAGGGAGACTCTGGCTCTCGGTCTCTGGGGGGCATTTTCGCTCTGCTCAAATAAAAGCCTCTCTCAGATAAGTTAACCCCTTCCTGGAGATTACAGGAAGCCCATGAGCAGACCACTGAGGGCTGTTGAGACCTTTCGGGTTTTTCTGAACAGCGCGGGATATGGCGGGCTGGTGTGCGCGTGCACCTGCAAGCCGGAAGAGACCAGGCCTCAAGGAGCAAGGCAGAGGGAGTGTGTCACCCCGGGGAGCTCCCCGACCTTTGTCGTGTCACCACCCTGGGTATGTTTCCTTTCTTGAACAGACCTCCATTTTCCCACCTGAACAATGCAAGTTTCAAGTCTTTCTTTTTCCTGTACCGGACTCCATGAATCCCCCCCACCCCCCTGCAAATCGCACACGAATGCTTGAGAATTACTAAGTTGTCGGGAGGGAGTGAAGTCAGAATTCGCTTTGATAGATAACAAGGTCTTTTCCCCACAACTTTTCTGGAATGGTGGTGTGAGGGAAGGAGACAGGCGGGTGCAGGCTAGAGGCTGCTGCCGGGAAGGGGCTCCGAGGGGGGACATGGGATGGCTGGGATGTCTGGAGGGCTGGAAATGACACCCCATGTCGGGTGGGGGAAGGGGAAAGGTACAATCCCTGGTGTTTAACTGATGCTGGGTGCCACGTGTCAGGCTGCGGGGAACAGAATGGCACTGCTGGGGGTCCTGCGACAGACAGCACAGGGCACTGCAGCGTGGGACACACTGGGGGGCGGGGGGAAGGCCAGCCTACATGTTTCAGAGTTGACCTCTCCCCAGCCTGTGCTGAGAGCTTTCTCGAGGCCTTGGCCGTGACAGACAGGGAAGTTCAGGGTCTAGGGTGGCTGATGGGCTCCAGGAGCGCACTCAGAGCAGGACAGAGGCAGCGGGGGCTTGGTGGGGCGTCCGTGCAGGGCACACAGCTGCGGTGCTCTGTATGGGGCAGGTATCTGTCCAGCCAGAGGCTGTTCGCTTCGCTCCCTCCCTGGACGTGTCCATGGTGGGGCCTCAGAGGCGGCCCCCCACCCCCGCCAGGTGGGCGGGATCCCAGGGGCCTGCCTTTGTCTGGGTGTTGGCTCAGGACCCAGCACCGAGCTGCAAGCAGTGAGGCTCCCAGCCACTCCACCGGCGTGGTTTGTCGCACACTTTTGAGGAGCGCATTTTCCTGAATGCCTTCACTAGGCGTTAGGAGCCAGGGACTTAGACAACTCATCCCTGCCTCCTGTTTAACAGTGCTGCTGTTAAAACCTGCCTGGCCTGCAGGATGGGCCCTGCTGGGGTCCAAGGCATCCCTGTGGGTGTCTGAGAGTGGCCTGATGGGGGAAAAGGGTGACTTACACCCAGAGGGGTCTCACCCTTAAACTGTCTCTGTTGTTTTTGGTCACAAAGACCAACAGGATTAGACGATGGGGTTCTTACATCTGAATGTGCGGCCCATTCCCGCCACGCTTTTCGTGGTGTGTTATGAGCTCACAGCTCTTGCAAGCTTGTGATGGTCTCAGAAAGAACACAGTACTACTCTGAACTGAGTTATGATTGAGGAACTATTCATGTAAACATTCAAAATATATTAACTTCCCAGCAAAATGAATTTTGGCCCTTTCTCATTTCCTAATACACGATCCCACCTCACCACTCCTGCCTCCCTAAATTAGGAAGTGATGCAGACCTCCCTTGATCTTGGGAAAGCCTTGCTGTGAGCATAGACCTTTCTAGAATCTGATCTTGCAGTGCATCGAGGAAGGATCTAAGGCCAGGGTGGGGGTTGTGTTGGCTGACATGTGGACTCCTTCATGCTACTTGGGCCTGTCCCCAAACTGCAGACAAAGAAAGGGGTGGAGTAGAAGTTTCCAGCTGGGCTGGGCACCAGCTGGGGGGACCCTGCCCCCATCGATTCTCCTGTTTATCCTCACGAGACAAGAATGGCTCCTGTGCATGGGTGGGGCCTTCTTCTCTGTGCTTCAAAGAGCCCGGGAAAACACATTTTCTGTAATCACCAAGCGTTTTCCTAAAATGCTTGTATGAGGGTCCAGAATCTGAAGGTTTACTGGGACGGACAGCCAGAAAGTACCCCGTAAATGGCAATAACAAACACGGGGTTTATGCCAGGCCAACGTTCCAAGTGCTTCTCGCGTTTTATCTGTTAACTTTGCAGCCACAACCGAATGTCGTTGTATCATCATTCCCTTAAACGGGCAGGAAAAAGGTCAAGGCCCAAGGTGACCACGCTGGCTGGCGCAGAGCCAGAACGTGAACCGTGTCCTACGTGACCTGAGACAAGAGGCTTACCTCCCAGGCACTCAGTTCCCCTTGCTGCACAAATGGGGCCAGGGGTGTGGGGACGTTGCGATAACCAGTGGTCACAGCAGATGTATGCGTACCGTGGCGGTGTGTGAACGGAGCCCGCCACGATCGCATAGCACGGTTACGGACTTTCCCGTCTACACTGCTGGTGAGAGCATGCTGAGAACCTTCACGTAGAAGAAAGTTGAGGCAGAAAGTACCCTGTCCTCTCCGTCTTTTGATTGTAAAGCCGGTACCTCCTGAGTGTTGGGCCCCGAACTCCAGGTGCACGGGGTGGGGGGGGTTGGGGCCGGGGTCTTGGGTAGGGAGGCTGATGCCCATCCAGAACACCCCCCACTTTGCACACGGACACCGCTGGCTGCTTTCCGACAGCCAGGGTGCGGAGGAATGGAAACTTCTGCCACCAACAGCAGTCGCTGGCAACTTCCCTCTCTGTGGTTTTCTCTGTCATTCCCTTGATAAAAGAAGCAGAGGGCTGAGCAAATGTAACCAACACTCACGAATCTCCCCTTCGCATGAAAACACCCGCCCCTCAAGTAGTGAGCTGCCGAAAAATGATGCACGATGTACTCTAAACTGGGTCATTCTTCACCCAGAGGGTTCGGCGCCTGGCTGACTTGCTGCGTGTATCCCCTGTGCTGTAGGCTTCCAGCGTCTTCGACAGCCCGGGAAGAGACAGCGATGGGAAATAGCATGCGATCCACCCCGGCACCTCCCGAGAGGCCTGTGCCCAGCCCAGATGGTAAGTCTGGCTTCTCGGGTCTTGCGCGTGATGCTAAACTCCACCGCTTGACAGCTGGGGGGCCCAACACTGAGCCATGGGGGAGCTGACAGTGGTTGAAGCTGGGCCCCGGGTGCCTGGGCACTCGATGCACCTGCCTCCCTTGTTTGGCGTGTTAGAAAAGATTGAGCGGGGGCGCCCGGAGCAATGGCTGGGTCACTGGCATTGTGGGATGGACTTTCAAGAGCGGCCGGTCCTGCCCTTATTTGACAAGTGGGGAAACTGAGGCTCATTAGGGCATGTAATCAGCTATTCAAAGAGTCAGATCTCCAACCCATGCCTGTCTGATGCTGAGACATACGCCCTTGCTGACTGCACCCCACCACCCCGTGAGAGGATATGATCGTGAGGTGAATATGATCAGAGCTCTGCAAATGCTTTTGCAGAGAAACTTGACGAAGCTAGAGAGAACTCAAGGGAGTCTTCCTGGAAAGGAAGGAATCTTGAGTCCCCCTGTTAGGATCATGGGGCCACCTTTCCAGGGGGAAGGCACCGTGTCACAGCCCAAGCAGTAATGAGAGAAGTCAGGTCCCCACGGCGCTGCCAGGTGGAGGTGGGACTCCTGAAGTAACAGAGCCCTTCGGAGATTGGCCAGAGAGCTGCAGAGGGGACACGGGCAAGCAGAAGGCAGGGGCTGAGAGTGAAACCCCTGGGGCTCTGGGGTGGAGGGGACAGTGGCGGCGCACTGGGTCCTCCAGGGGCTGTGGAAGGGGGTGGTGAGGAGGTCATAGGGGATCTATCGGTGTCCCCGGGGTGAGCCCCCTTGGGCCACTTCCATCTCCTATCTTACAGCACAGTGTTCAGGCTTGGTCTCCCTCTGCTAATAGCCTGGGTCCCCCCCCCCAACACTGCACCGAGCAGAGTTCACACACCCAGATGTCCCCCGTCCTGCCTGCCCCGAGCGGACAGTGGCGGCCACTCTGTCTCTGGCTCCTTCCACAGTGAAAGATGTCTTTTCATTTCTTCCAAAAGGGAGATACCCAAGCTATACGTGGTCTCGTGATCCCTCAGATGCTCTCAAGTGAGCCACCCCTCCAGCCCCTTTACCCCCCATGCAAAGCTCTGAACTGTGTGCCCTTATACAGCCCACCTTCTCCAAACCATCTCAAGTCACAGCCTCCTTGCAGAAAACGGACCCTGCAATGCCCAGGGCTCAGCCCAGGACCCATGCACCCACCCACCGAAGCCATTTTGTCCTGAAACGTCTCACACCAGGGCGGGGGGTGCCACATGCTTGAGCAAACCCCGTGAAAACACGGGCCTACAAGGGCTTGCTCATTTGCCCTTATTTTTTAAATGCAAATTCTTGCCAAGTAAGTTTCTCTTTTTCCACTGTGTGGGTGGGAGGTCACCTCGAAAAAGGAGGCGGAGGGGTCTCCCCGGCCCCCCGCCCCCTGGTTGAGAGAATTCCCCAGGTGGGACCCCGTCTGTGATCCAGGCAACCACATCAAGCATTAGCAGCTGGCTTTTCCATCCCCCACCCCTGAAAAGTTTCCCTGGTGATGGGTCCTAATTTGATTTCCTCTTTTTTAAATTTTTTCTGACATCCACTTGAAGGAGGGAGAAGAAAATGGTTGTGGTTCATGCTGTATTAATTCGTTTGTGGCCAAATGATGTTTTCAGGGAACAGGCATCTCCTGAGCTAATATGCGCGCTTACTCATTTGGTTAGGCGCAAATGCCGAGAAAGTACTGCGGGAAGTGGGTGGCATCAGGCCAACATACAATAGAGCTTCCTCTGACGTGGGCCCGAGTCCGGGAGAGTTAAAAACACCCAGAGCCCCAGGCCCTACACCAGGAGGTCAGCAGGAGGCCAGCCTGTAAACTGCAAGGCAAACAGTTTTCTGAGCCTTTAAGAACTGTGTCGTTCCCCCAGGCAGGACTGTGAATGCCTTGCCATGTGGCTTTGCCCATCCGTTTTGTCCTAAGCTTTCCAGAACATTCCCGATCACTCTAGCTCCTGGAGAACAATATCACAAAACCCCTGGGAATGGGGCAGGTCTCAGAGACACATGACCTTGCTGAGCTTCTCGTATTGCCCCCCCCCGCCCCCTCCCCCAGAAGCCATATGACCTTGGGTAAGTCACTTAGCCTCCCGGAAGGCAGAGCTCAGCTCTCCAATGGAGAGCAGAACATTCCCTCCTCACAGCAATCACAGCCCAAAGTAGCTACCTGATGAATGTGGGGGAGTCACTTTTTTTTTAACTCCACTTGGGGTTCCCTGATTGCACTAGGCTAGGTCTAAATGGGCCTGCCCCCCAAAAGTTTTAAAGCGGTTGAATTGGGGGTTCCATGACTTATTTCCGAATCATCCCAAAGAACGCAGTTTGTCTACAGTTTCTCTCCGCAGTTCACACTCTTGCTCTGTGCCAGACACAGGCAGCACAGAACTGAGAAATACCTAAGAACTCCCATATAGCAGGGAAATAGCATATCTCTACTTTAAAGAGGATTTTTAGATCTTTTCCCACACGCTACCTTTTTATTTTTTCCCCTCCTCACCTTTCATCACCGTGGCCTGAAGCATGGGCTCACTGACAGAGGTAGTAATGCAAACCCAGGCACCGTTCAGACCCCTTTCTGTGCAAGGTTGGAAATCACGCTAAGCAGTGCATTTACATAGCGTCGTGGGTGCTGCCCCAAGGACAGCACTGATGGGAGGGGTTCTGGGGAGGAAGAGGCAGGGGGCAGGGAGGTCTCAGCCTGGCGCTTCTCAGTGAATGATTCTCAGACCACCTGCATCAGAGCCTCTGGAAAGTTGTCAGAAATGCAGATGGCTGGGCCCCACCCCAGATGTGTTCAGCAGAATTCCATGGTAGCGGAGGGAACGACCCGAGGAATTTCTTACAAGCCGCTCCCTCCTGCCCCCACCCACTTAAGCTGAAAGCTTCCGCTGTCCTCGGACCCAGCTCTCAGTCCTGCCTTGACTCTTAACACACAACGAGAGACGAGAGGGACAGTTTGTTGCCTCAGGGAACACCTTCTCTGGTGTCACCTGTAAATCAGGAATGACTGGAGTGACTCAGCACTTATGACGCACCAGACACAATTCCAATTGCTTCACACACATCCACTCTTCCTCCTCACAACAGACGCAGGAAGTAATCACTATTATCACCTCCACTTCGCAACTGAGGAAACTGAGGCACGGGAAGGCCCACTTACTTGTCGGGAGGCCACACAGCTGGGATCTGAAAGAGGGGCCCTGAATCTAGAGTCCATCCTCTCGCTGCCACATTACATGCCTGCAGACGACAGAATTCCAAGGAGCTCACGTGTTTGGGGGGGGGGTGTTGATGGTGGTGTGGATGGGCGCTTTCTAGAGTGAGGGACGATGGCCACCAGATGGCCACCAGATGAATTCACAGACAGTCCAGTGCCCCGTAAGGGAACCTGCCTCATGTCTTTGACCCTTACCAGGGTCTTACTCATCCCACTTCTGGCCCATAAGATGGTTCTAGGTGGAAGGCAATCATTTAACTTTGACGCCGAATACACAACTTCTGAACATGTAATGGATACCATACAAACCGTGATTTCACGCTGCGTAGAATGGGACTAAAGGTTTTTTAAAGCAAAGGAACACAAAAACACTGCTAAGTAGATGGTGGTATGGGTGGCGCTCGGTGGCATAAGCAGAAGAGCAGGTGGTCAGGAGCAGAGCCTGCCCCCTCTGCAGCTGGGTGAGCGGGTTCTCAGACCGGGCGCTCAGCTTGCTGCTGTGTGCTCCTGAGCCATCTCTTCGCCTCTCTGTGCCACTGGAGAGCCTCAGGATCTAATCAGTCCCAATCCACCCCGACTCATAGATGGGGAAGCCAAGGCTTTGGACAGAAAAGAAGAGGTGGGCCGCCGTGTTTCATTTTCAAGCCACAATAAGGGACCCACCGGCACACGCCGTGGTTCATGGTAATCAGCAGAACGTGGTAGACCTTCTACCGGGCCAATCTGCCCAGCCCTGACTAGTTGTGTGTGTGTGTGTGTGTGTGTGTGTGTGTGTTTCCTGGAAAAGATGCTAAAAGTAAGGCCTGCTTTGACTCTCCTGAGCCCGTGAGTTTGGGCACGATTCAAGGCACTACCAAGCACTGGGCTGTTCAGCTCTTGGCCAACCGACTGCGTTCAGAGGCTGGTGCCAACTTGGAACCCGCCTTTAGTGCCAGCCTTTGTCTCAACCTGTCAAGGGACAAGCAGTTAACTGGGGAGAGCCTGGTAATTACGTGCCAAGGAGAGCTATGTGGCCTGGGGACAGGATCAGCAGCCTGACACCCCCCCCCCCAGCTGTCCCCTGCCCCCTGCACACAGTACTAACACTCCTAACACTCCCGCAGCGCAGCCCTTGTTTCTTCCTTTCCCTTTTCCCCAGGGTTGTGTGGAGCATTGGAAGTAAGGAAGGGCTGGTTCTGCTAGAATTATAAAAGGGAATCTACTGAAAGGTTTTTAGCATTTAAAAAGAAATGGTAATGATACTACAAGGAATGATAATGCCAAAAAAAAAAAAAAAAGGTCCCTTCTCCCTTGACCAAGTAATTTCTGTGGTTAGTAAGTCCTGCCTGGTTTTTCGGCCTTTTTGGATTTGTTTCCCACTTTACACTTTTTTTTTTTTTACAATGTCTTCAATCTGACTCAATGTCAGTATCAGTAAATATTTGGTCTTCTGCATTTCATCTTCTGTTCTCACCAAATGGAGTTTGTTTTTGGAAGAATGGAATCGTTTCAGATGTACACATCTGAGAGGCTTTTCAAACTTTAGGGCGCTATTGGCTGAGGTTGGCCTTGGGTTATGTAATGATAAGCCCACTCCATAAACGCAGAGTCAGCGGCCTCTCACTGGGGCAAGAGCATCCTGAATCCAGACCCGATCATACAGGGCAGATTTTGATATTTCTCATCTTTATACATGAAGAAGTCAAGCTCAGATTGGCTAAAAATAAATCTCTCCCCAAATCGCAGAACAATTAAGTGGTGGGATTTAAGGCAGAGCTGACTGATTCCAAAGCCCGTCCTCTCCTCTGAAAAGTCTCTCTGGATTTCCCCTTTATGCACAGCACATATTTTTCACTCTCTTTCCTTATCTTAAATCTTCAGGAATCCTATCCATGCCTGTCCTTAGTATCAATCACTTATCTGATCGAATTCCAGCTCTCAGCTCTCCATAAAACCTGGGGCTCCTGGAGGACCAGAGAGTATGTTTGAACTTTATGAGCAAACTTGACTTCCTTACTTTGCATGTACTCTGGGGACCCAAGCTCAGGGAAGACTTTGATGGGGTCCTGGCACTGGACCTCATGTAGAATGACTGCCCTCCGGGGCTCCTGGGTGGCTCAGATGGTTAAGCGTCCAACTCTTGATCTTGGCTCAGGTCATGATCTCACAGTTCGTGAGATCAAGCCCCACATCGGGCTCCAGGCTGACAGCATGGAGCCTGCTTGGGATTCTCTCCTTCTCTCTCTGCCCCTCCCCTGCTTGCACGTGCTCTCTTTCTCTCTCTCTCTCTCTCAAAATAAATAAATAAAAAGAACACCTGCCCTTCCCAGCGACGTGCAAACCAAACCTCAGTTCCTTCCCCTGACTTGTGTTCTGTCTCCCCAGTGCTGGTGAGCCAGCTGACAGGGATGGACCTGAAATTCCCTGCACAGGCCCACGGCAAGGCCATTACCTTTAACCAAAGGCCCCAGAGCAAGGTTTTCTCAGTCTTGTTTAAGTGTTACAGCTATAAAAACACCATCATTATGGAAATTCCACAGGAAACTCACTGCTGTTATTGTGAAATTGAAACTCTCCAGCCCCTGAAGCCTCTTTCCACCCTTGAGACAATGTTTTTATACTGGGATCGTGTTTTTGTTTCTGTTTTTAAAGTAAGAAAGACGGTTGTTTTGTTTCGCGGTCTTAGTCGTGAACCCGGACATCAAAGCCCCAGCCCTCGTGTAGACGTGCGGTCTACGTCAAGGTTCTGTGATTGTCACAGATAACAAATGCTGTGCCTCACCTTCCAGCACTTGTTTTTCGCAAGGGGCTGGTTGTGTGATGACCACCCGCCATGCGGCTGCCACCAAGCAGGGTTCCCTCTCTGGGACTGCTTTCTGCAGCACAAGGGCAGCTTTTAAGAGCCCAGAAGCACAGGGACGTCTCCTGGCTTTCAACCCTCAAACCCACTCTGAGCACCCGAGACGGCGCAGTGGGGGCTGGACTGGGGTGGGGGGTGGGGCGGCTCCGAGATGGCTCCTCCTGAAGTTGACACTCAGTCCCCCAGAGCTATGCCAACCTCAGGACACAGCTGGGGTAATGGCCTCAAAGGAAGAGCCTAGGGTCCCGGGTGGGGGGTAATAGCAAGAGCACCAGCAAACCTCCTGGGGACGGGAGGGGTGGGGAAGGGGAGACCGGATACATTTCTGGCAGAGGGCACAGCCTGGTCCCAGGCTCTGGGGACAGGGCATCCTGGCAAATTGAGGACAACAGGATGGCTCTTCACTCTGCTCCTAAAGGCAATGGAGACCACGTTAAGTGGCCCCTTCCTTTTTGGGGCCAGCAGCCCAGATTTCCGTCATGAAGATGTTTCCCAGCCCCTCATTTTCCAGACTGACGCAGGCCCCCGAGGGAAAGGGTGCATCCGCGCTCAGAGTGGCAAAGTCCGCGGAATGGGGGCAGGCTTTATGGGAAGCTGAACTAATCCTCTGCGCCGGGTCCTCCTTTATGGGCACAGAGGCTTCCTAGGGACTGTACACTATGTTGTATTCGCAATCACTTTTCCGTTCTTTTTCTTAAGGGGGAGGTCCAGATTCACATGAGCCTCATGCCCCACGAAAGCTGGAACCCCCCCACCCCTTATCAGAACTCAGGACTCCTGGCTTAAAGCCCGACACCGGGGCTACGTCGTGCTATTGAGCCCGGGGCTGGGCGACAGGAAAGGACCTCGTTTTCACTCGGCAAAGCGGGATGTGAGAGAGGTGCCCCACAGGGTCAGGGAAGACTTTGCTGGGTCAGCCATCCCCTGGCCGGGCACTGCTCCTTCTCATGAGACCGGACCCCTTTCGGTGACTGTGGCCACCACAAATCACTTTTGGTTTCCATTTCATGCCCCAAAATGCTTGGCTTTTATCTGCTTTGTTGTCTGTGGCTCAGCTCCCTCAAGTGAGCAATGCATCTGAATGTGCTGTTCCACGCTGACAGCTGGGGTCTGATTCATTCTTACTCATCCTACTACCGAAGCTGTCTTTTGGCTTCGTCTGTCCTGGCACTTGAGGGCTGGAGAGTCCCGGGTACAGGATCTGTAAGGGGCAAAGTCTAGCGGTCCCAGCATGAGGATGTCTGGGTCCCAGAAAGTGGCCGCTTTGGGCCACTAAGCCTGCCACGCCCGAGTGGCAGATTTTCCTGGGGTGCAGGGGGCAGGTGACGACCCCTCCCGTGATTATTTATGTATTCTCTAGAATGTGGGTGTGCCCCTGGTAGGTGCTCAGTAAATAACTGCCAGATGAGAGAATACATGATATGTTACCCAGAATTTTGAGTTCAGATGCTCAGCTAAGCAGATGGAGTGATCAACCCAACACTGTAGCAAACAGGTGCCGAATTCACCCATTTGTAAGGCATAGTATCTCCCCCACAATGTACCCTAATGTTACCCCGCACCTAACGCGCCTGGATTACAGCAAGCCCGCTAAGGCTGCTTCACAGGGATTTTGCTTAGTGCCAAAAACTGCATCACCGTCCCTTTAGCCCACGGTCAGCTGTACTCGCGTGAACAAGACATGCCTCCCTTTCCAAAACTTCACCAGAATTACTTTCAAGGTACAGACGATGAAAAGCACTTACTTTTTCCTTCCACCCCTGCCCTAAAGCCCCTACTAAATAGATCCCCGATTTCTACAAGGAAGAAGTGCTTTGTGGAGCTTTGGAGTTAGAGTCTTTGGGTCCCAGTGGGTCCTCAGAAATCATGTGGCCCAACCGTGACACACGCCACCCCCATATGTGACCAACGGGGACCTGCAAACCCCAGGGAGGGTGATAATAAAAGAGGATTATATAGCCCCTGATCATTCATGGGATCCTGCTACATATATTCACCTAAGCTCGTATGGACCCTGGACTGATGTATTCTTAGCCCCACTTTAAAGATGGGGAAATTGAGGCTAATAGGTGTTCAGGGACACCCTTGCCCGAGATTACTTGGATTAGTAGATACAGTGGCAGAGCTTGAAGCCAGATCTCATGGCTTCGGCCTCAGGACCTGTGGATCCCTCACTTCTCAGAGAACGTCAAGGCCTAGGCAGGCTTGTGATGGGAGGAGGTCTTCGACCTTGGGGTTCCTTCAAGCTCGCTTGGCACCATTTCTTTCTTTTCTTTTTTTTTTTTTTTATTAAATCTTTAATTTTTTTATTTCTAGGAGAGAGAGACAGACAGACAGCGTGAGCAGGGGAGGGTCAGAGAGAGAGGGAGACACAGACTCTGAAACAGGCTCCAGGCTCTGAGCTGGCAGTCAGCACAGAGCCCGACGCTGGGCTCGAACCCACGAACCGCGAGATCATGACCTAAGCGAAAGTCGGACGCCCAGCCGACTAAGCCACCCAGGCGCCCCTCGCTTGGCACCATTTCTGAAGGGAGGAGGGCCTGCTGTAAACCGCTGTTTCACAGCAAACCACGTTCTCCAGTGGAGAAGTCCCCGGGAGGGATTTGTCCTGGCCTCCCCTTCCCGGGGTTGCCTTTCGGTTCCCTGAGAAGAACATCTGTTGCCTTTGTTTCCCCAGGACCCGACAGCGACTTCCTGGCCGTGCTGAGTGATTACCCATCTCCTGACATCAGCCCCCCCATATTCCGCCGAGGGGAGAAATTACGCGTGATTTCTGAGTGAGTCGGCTTTCCAAATGTTTCACCGTCTCTTACAAAGGGGGAGCACGATCTGAGTGGGAATCAATAGATCTTAGCTACAGTGCTCCAGTTCCACCTGGGCCCTGCTCCAGTTGTGAGGTGAGGAAATTGGACCGTACAGCAGATCTTAGCGCTTAATCCTTAATGCTGCCAGCGCTCTAAAACCTTCAATGGCTCCCCATTGCCTGGTGGGTAAAATTCAAATTCCTTAACTTGGCTTTTGAGACCCTTTGGGATCCAACGTCTGTTTCTCACATTGGTCTCATCCCCCACCATGCAGCATTGTATTACAGACTGGCACAGTGCAGGCTCAAACAGCAAGACCCACGGGTTTGAGAAAATGCCTGATGATAAACAGAAAGTATTGTCCCCCATCCTGTTGCCTGTGACTCAAAATGGGCTACAGAACAAACGGGGGGCTCTCAACCCCTTTTATTTAGATTCTCATTGATACAGGGGCGCCTGGGTGGCTTAGTCGGTTAAGCGTCCGACTTTTGTTTAGGTCATGATCTCGCGGTTCGTGGGTTCGAGCCCCGCGTCGAGCTCTGTGCTGACTGCCAGCTCAGAGCCTGGAGCCTGTTTCAGTCTGTGACTCCCTCTCTCTCTGACCCTCCCCTGCTCATGCTGTCTCTCTCTCTCTCCCCTAGAAAAAAAAAATTTAAAAAAAAGATTCTCATTGATATAGACAAACTAAACTATCTTGGTTCCATTGCAGGGTATAATTCTACATAGTAACATTATTTTTAAAAAGCCTCCTATTGTGGCTTATCACCTGTGGATCCCCAAAGAATGGCTCAGTGCCACAGCACAGGAAGCGTTCCCGGGGGGCTTAGAATGAGGGACATACTTAGAAACTATATTTCCCTATGGAGAAATCTGAGTCAACATGATCCATGATGGGTCTTAAAAAAGAAACGCCCCAGGTTAAATCTGATTACCCTGCTCATTCCTTCGCTTTGCCACTCACGTATCCACCCCTTCCTACCTGTTCTTGTTCTTACAGCGAAGGGGGCTGGTGGAAAGCCATTTCCCTGAGCACTGGTCGAGAGAGTTATATTCCTGGAATATGTGTGGCCAGAGTTTACCATGGGTGAGTACATTTCTGAAACAGCATCTGTAAAGCATGGTATTTAGTGGTGCGTGAGGGCACCCAGTGGAAAGGAACTTTCCAGGGGCTCATTCTTGCTCCGGCACAGTCCGTAAGGAAGGGTGTGCCTTTGGAGACCCCCATGCCCTACCTGAGACTCCATTTTCCCATCAGTAAAGATGAAGGGAGCTGAACCTTTCAGCTCCAACGCTGTGCTCCTGGCACATAGCAATCAACATTCAGGGACTATGGGACGCGGCTCCTAAAAGTCAGCCTGTCTGGGCTGCAATCTCGCCTCTGTCACCTACAGGCTGTGTGACAGGGGGCAAGCTCAACGCTTTACGTCTCAGTTTCCTTCCCTTGCCTGTTGGATGGACTCTGTAATACAGAATGACAGGGACGGGAATACACAATAAGACCAAAGTGCAGGGCGGTTCAGACAGCAGGTGGGAGAGTATGTGGGTCGCTCTTGGAATGATGCCTGGTGTTACAGTAAGTGCTCAATACATATTAGCTGTAGTCTTATTGGACCCCACCCAGAACACAGAGAACTCTTACTGCCCCAGGAGCTTCACGTACCCAACTTGACCAGTGGCGAAGTCAAGGAGAAACTCTACATGATCACAATCAGTTTCCCCTGCAGTTAGGCAGGGAGGCCCTGCAGCATGACCGGCGGCTCTGGAGGCCAGCACTCCTGCCGGCTCAGCTCCCTTCCGGGGAGTCTCCCACGGGATCCACGGAGGAGTTACTTCACCTCCTTGAGCCACAGTTGCCTCGTCTGTCAAGCTATCAAGGCCAAACCTTGGCATCCAGGAAGGAAGGAAGAAAGCATCGATTTGTGGGTTTTTTTGGAAGGAACCAGAAATAACCGCTTTACGTGCTCCCCTGTTGAAGCAGAGATAACGGCGTGAATATTTTGAAGAACATGTCATCTCTTGCATTTCATTGCAGGATTATGGATTGTGGGAATAAGTACCAGAAGCCATTTCTGAGCTTGGCGTGATGGAGGGGAGCAGCAGCCGGGCAGTAGCTGCTTTGCCAGCTACGTTCTGGAAGAGTCGGTCACATGACTCCCCTAAGTTACTGACCCATTCATTTTACACCTGCATCATCACCCACATGCTGAACATATGGTGCTGGGTGCCAGCAGAGGCTCGGGCGCTCAAGAACCCAGATGGGCGAGATGCGATCACAGCCCTAGGAAGGCAAAAGATGTCTTTAAAATACAGAACCGGGAGAGAATACAGAATAGTTCTGGAATTTGAGGTCTGAGGAAAGTGCCTTGGAATTTCGGCTTTCCCACTTGTTGACATGGGGAAACGTGGACCAATTACTTACTTACTCTGACCCTCAGCCTCTTCATCAGTGAAAGGGAGACAATGCTACCTGTCTTAGGGAGTTCATATGAGGATCAGACTTCAAGTGCCTAATGTGCCCATAATTCGTATCCCTGCATGGGTATCGCTGTGGTTTTCATCATATTCGCTCTTACGAGTGGCATTCCACCCAAGGATTTGGGAGGGTAATGTTTGTCCAGACACTAAAATAACTAACACCCCGTGCACGGTGCAAAACTAAGGCGGTAGTTGAAATATCAGGCCGAATCATGATCTACACAACGAAAGTGCTCCTGGAGGCCAGTGCTTAAATAAACAGTATCTGGTTATAAGTCTGTGGTCTTTTCCCGGCCACAGTGACCCGCTTGCTGGCCTGGGGGTGCCACCAGAGACGACAGAGTGAAGCGTTACGATCTGCCCCAGCACACATGGACTCGGACCTGGGGATTAAATAAGCCACGGATCACTCCCTAAAATGTGGAGGCTGTTAAAGAGGATGTACAGTTGCTTCTGAGTTTGCCCCGGCCAAGCGCTAACGAAGCATTCTCTCCTCCCACGTTGGGACCGGGCTGGGACTGCTCTGCAAAATGAGCAAGGACCCGCTTCCTTAGAGCATAGATTCCTTTGTATGGAGATGCTTTCTGAAGCCTATTCAAGAGCCTTGGCTTTCCTTTGGAAGGTGAACATTCCATTCGAGAGCCGGACCACAGCACAACTGTTTTATTTAAAAAAAATTTTTTTAATGTTTTTACTGTTAGGCAAAAATAAACCCAAGAAACACAGAAGTGCACGTCAATGCACGGTGCGAGGACAACTGCGTTTAAAATATGTTGAACGAGAGAAGGCAGCAGGGAAATGTAATGACTGCCGAGGGGGCCTGTGAAGGGGGTGGGATACAGCACCACCACATCTTTGTTTCTTTCTTGCATCCACTTACTCATTCACAAATACAAACCAAGCTCAATAACGTGGACACAAAGACAATGCCCAAACAGACAGGGTCCCTGCCCTCGTGGGTTGTGAGGAGGGAGGGACAGGGACATCAGAGTACAAGAGAGAGGCACCTTACGCATTTGGGAAGCTTGTGTGTGACACGATACAGACCCAGGCACATCCCACTAGCACTGGAGAACAGGATGAGAAAGATGCTTTGTGCATCTTTGTGCCCTCACCGTCCGATGTAACACCTGGCATGCAGCAGGCACTCAGGAATCTTATTTGAAAGATTAAAAGTATGAATGGGGGTGCCTGGGTGGCTCTGTCGGTTAAGCATCCGACTCCTGATTTCAGCTCAAGCCATGACCTCACAGTTCACGAGTTCAAGCCCCACATCGGGTTCTGTGCTGACTCGGGTTCTGGGCTGACAGTGCAGAGATTGCTTGGGAGTCTCTCTCCCTCTCTCTCTGTCCCTCTCCTCCTCTCTCTCTCCTTCCCTCTCAAAATAATTGAGTAAACATTAAAAAATATATGAGGGGAGTACGCCTGGGTGGCTCAGTCGGTTAAGCCTCCGACTTTGGCTCAGGTCATGATCTCACAGTTCATGGGTTCGAGCCCCGCATCAGGCTCTGTGCTGACAGCTCAGAGCCTGGAGCCTGTTCAGATTCTGTATCTCCCTCTCTCTCTGACCCTCCCCTGCTCTCTCTCTCTCTCTCTCTCTCTCTCAGAAATAAATAAAACATTAAAAAATTTTAAATATGAAGGAAGGAAGACAGGAAGGAATAAACAGAGGCCATCGCCCTCCTCTTTTTAATCCTAATGGTTTTATATGAACTTGACCTTGTTCTTAATTTTGGTACCACCTGCCTGTTTGGCAGGGCACGTGCCCAGGACACTCATGCTGTCTTTCTCCTCCCCAGCTGGCTGTTTGAAGGGCTGGGCAGGGACAAGGCGGAGGAGCTGCTTCTGCTGCCGGACACGAAGATGGGCTCCTTCATGATCCGAGAGAGTGAGACAAAAAAAGGTGAGCCACCTCGACGCCTCTTTCCACGCTAGCGCTGAGACGGGCCTGTTTTGTTCCCGGATGACTCACGGCCCGGCTCATTTTCCCGCCTCCCACGGTGCACCCGAGCCCATCCGACGCCATGAGCTCCTATAGCCCACACAGCCCCTGGGGAGGCCATCATCAGAGTGGGAATCCTCGGGGCGGGTGGCGGAGACCTGGCAGCGCACGGTCACCTGTCAGACACAGTGAGCTCGGCGACTCCCGCTGGAAAGTGTCCCCATCACCGGGGAAGGAGAACAGACGCCGGGTGTCGGCAGCCCTGGGCCAGAGCCAGCAGGCATCCGTCAGGCCTGGGCTGGGCTCCCAAGCATTTACAATCCAAACTCTATGGGATGCGGCAAAGGCAGTCCTAAGAGGAAAGTACATGGCACTCCAGGCCTATTTGAAGGCGTTAGAAAAAGCACAAGTCCAACATCTCACAGCTCACCTAAAGGAACTAGAGGCAGAGCAACAAGAGCACCCCAAACCCAGTAGAAGAAGAGAAATAGTAAAAATCAGAGCAGAAATAAACAACATAGAGACCTAAGATACATTTGAACTGATTAATGAAACCAAGAGTTGGTTTTTTGATAAAATAAACCAAATTGACAAACCTCTAGCCAGGCTTCTCAAAAAGAAAAGAGAGAGCAACCAAAGAGACAATATCATGAATGAAAATGGACTTATTACAACCAGCCCCTCAGAAATACTTCTGCGAGGGCTGTATTCTCCCCCGTGGGGCCGTTCAACAATAATTGTCGCCTGCTTGCTACAACAATAATTGTGTTTATAGCACGCTTGCTACACAGGAGAACTTCACTACTGCTTCCCACTGCGCCCTCCAGTGAACTCAGACCGCTTAGGCAATCGGGACAGGCAGAGGCTTACTCGTACATACTCGCTATGATCGTTACTATTAGTTTCCTTACAGCCCACACATTAAGTTCAGTGAGGGGGCGCCTGGTGGCTCAGTTGGTTAAGCATCTGACTCTTGATGTCACTCAGCTCATGATCTCATGGACCATGAGACCCAGCTCCATGACAGCACGGAGCCTGCTTGGGATTCACTCTCCCCCTCTCTCTCTCTGCTCCTTCCCCCCCCAAATAAATAAATAACCATTAAAAAAAATAAATTTAGTGAAAACAGCATAGCAGGGCTCTTCGTCATGGTTCAGAGCAAGAGCTCTGAATTCTAGTTTTGGCTGTATGAACTACTGAGAAGGTGCCTGTCTCCCTAACTCTTTCCCATAACGTGGGAGTAACACCAGCAAGGTGCTTCACACAGTATCTGGGAGGTAGTAAGCACTTCAACTCACAGGAGCAAAACACTTACCAGTGAGGGCTTCCCCACGCTGAGAATCACACCTTTTTAAAAACAGAAGACACGTTCAGCCTGTTTCTCGTGTATTCCTTATAAAGAAGAGAAAACGTGGTATCTGGGAATAGTTCCCATACACCTGTTAAGGGCCAGCGTGGCTTGGTGCAGGAGCCTTTCACTAAAACGAGCATCAGCGTGACTTTGGAGAAGCATAGACCATATATGCATGATAAAAAACAATTCAAGGACAACTTTTGTCTCAAAATGTCGATTGTGCTGGGGGGGTGGAGGGGAAACAAGATCAAAAGGCAGAGACCAAACCTTCCAGTGCCTGTCCTGGGGGTCCCCAGAGGCAGGAGACCCAGACTCACATTGAACTCGTAAGCAGGCATGGCCAAGCGAGGGACGAACCCAGTTAAGGTGCAGGAGCTGATTTAAAAATAAAGACACTACCGGGCAGATGTGCAGCCGAGCTGGGGCTGGGGTGGGGGTGGGGTGGGGGCTGGAAGGCTCTGTTCCCTTGAGTATGCAAAGTTCTTATAATTTTCCACCTGCCCCCTTTGACCTGCTCACCATATTCTAGTTCCTGCCATCGTTACAGGAAGACGGAGAGTAGACCTGGGGCAAAGATAGGAACGCCCGTCTGAATGTTCTAGAAGTCCCATTCAGGATGAGGGTCAGACCCCAGAGCTGCCATTTCTAGGTGGTGTGCTTCTGGCCACAGCGCTCTGGGGCTCTGAGCCTCGTTTCTCCATGTATAAAGTATCTGGGGGCGACACCTCCTGATCTTTCTAAGAACCATCAGAGATGTTGCTTGGAAACAGAATAGCCCCTGAGCAGCACATACAGACAGCAAAGCTCAGCAAATGTTAGTGTCCTTCTTTCACTGCGTAATGAACACCTTCACTCCTGGCACCCAGGAGGCAGAGCAGAAGGGACTCTCGAACATGACCTAGGTCCAAGCCTCGTCCTTTCCACTTGGGGAAATTGAGGCAAAGAGAGGCAAAGGCGCTTGCCAAAGTTCTACTTCACTGATCCACATTTAAGGAAAACCAGCACGTTTGACATCCTTCTTACGGCTACCCAGAAAACGTCTTAATTGCCACTTTTTCCAAATTTCTGAGAACGCCGGAATAACCAAGAGGGCGCAGGGGACCAGGAAGTGGTGCGGCGGGCTGGCCTTGACCGGACAGGGAGGGAAATGGTGTGCACCTGGGAAGGGCTTCCGAACGGCCGCGGATCCCGACTTGCAGGGCACATCCCAGCTCTGATCGTGTAATTTCCAGAAAAGGGCGTGGGAACACCCTGAATGCTAGCCTCAGAGCAACGACTAAGCAGGTGCGCCTGAACACCTGTCTGCAGCATGGCTGCTAACGGAGCAGGTGCCTGTCCTCTCTGCAGAGGAGCTAAGTCCCCGAAGCTGGGGTCTTGGCATCCGCTCCTCCAAACCCAGGACTGCGCGTCTGGGTATTCCTGTATGGCAAGACTCAGAGAGTCTCTCAGCCGCTGCCGAGGTGGGCCTTCAGCTGATCGCCCCCGAGGGGGATGTGCCGGATGCCTCTGACTTGTCTTCCATTTCCGGCAGGCTTTTATTCCCTCTCGGTGAGACACAGGCAGGTGAAGCATTACCGCATCTTCCGGCTTCCGAACAACTGGTATTACATCTCCCCGAGGCTCACCTTCCAGTGCCTGGAGGACCTGGTGAATCACTATTCCGGTAAGAAATCCCCCATCGGGACAGATCAGTGAAGCTCCCCTTTCCTCGCTGCCCTGCGGTGCCTGTGTCGAGGGTGAGCATGGGTCACCCGCACCTGCCAGGGATTGGCTTGGCTCTCACCCCGCTTTCCCAGGATGCTCTGTTCTGGTTAATGCAGGCCGTCGATTTCACACTGAAACAGGCTGTTAATGTTGCGTCAGTAAGGAAAACGCAGCTAAGCTCAACCTCACCTCCCTTCTACCTGCAGATGAAGAGAATTAGCACGGCCCACTATTTGCAACCGCAAACAGTTGGCACTTCCTAAATGGGACCGTGTGTTTACGGGCCCCTGGAGCTGTGTTCCCTCTTTCTGTCTGGCCAAATCCTCCTCAGCCTTCGAGCCAACAGGAGGCCGCCTCCTTTGATACGTGTTTGCAGGACGGACTGCCTGTCTGCTCCCGCAGAGGCTGGCAGAACGGGGTCAGTCTGCCTTGCGGCCCAGGGAACAGTGTCCTCGTGTGGGTTTCCCAGAAAGCTCTTCAAGGCGGGGCTCATTTTGTTCATTCGGATATGCCTCCGGGGCCCAGGAGAGACGTCCTGGCGTTTCGCGCTGGCCAGGGTTGGGAGCATCCCCTCCAAGATGGCGGAAGCAGGGCAGGTTGTGATGGAGATGACCGGGAAGCGCAGAGTCAGAAGGGATCAGACGGTGAAGGGCCACAATGCCAGGAGGGGACATTTCACATGGAAAAGGGAGAAATGGGAAAAAGCTGGCTCCGGAGCCTCTGTGTTCACATCTCAGATCTTCTGGGCAGCCTGGGCTGGCTGCTCACCTCCGTACCTGACTTTCCTCTCCATCTCCACCTCCTCCCTCCCCCTGCCCACGGGAGGGAAGAAGAAAGAAGTTGCCCTCGCTCCATATGCGTCCTCTCACTTCTGGGTTCCGGACCTCACAGCCCTGGTATATTTGCTAGCATTACTGTAGGGTGTGGCTCTTGAAGGGCATTTCAGGGTCAGAGGAGCCCACAGGAAATGGGTTATCACGCCGGGGCCGGTGAGAAGGGCAGTGCATGGAGGAGAATGGTCTCTAGGGAGACCCGGGCCCAAGCCGCAATCTGGGCTCGGCGAGACGTTGGGCGAAGAGTCCACCTCTTCCCGTTCACGGAAGGTGGATGGAAACAGCCCCCTTGCAGGCGGCCGTGATGACCGACTGTTCATGTAACAACGCGCGACCCGCAAATAACGGGACGTGTCCATGACAGCCCAGGGCGGGGCTGATTCAAAATAACCGATAGCCCATGTTGATTCTGTGATACCTGGAAACCTAGCCGCTTAGCTAAAAATGAAAGAGGAAGGGAGTCCTGGAGATGGCCAACTTTTACTGACTATGAGTAAAGGTTGGTTGTGGTATTTGGCTTTTAATAACAATCATCTGAGAGGTGGGGAGACCATAAGTTTTGCATAGACAACAGCAAACATGAAAAGGATGCCACCCCAGCGAAGATGTCACACCCTGGGAGACCCACGGGGCCTCCAGCCCAAGGAGCTTGCTCCGGTTATAGAAGAAACGCCTTCCAGAAATACGCCCCCGGCCACTGCATCCGTTCACAGGCCACACTCATCAGGCCCCTGCTGCAAATGACGGAAAAGGGTCTGAGACCCTGACATGCTTCCTGTGCCCAGAGGGTCCCCAGGGGAAACAATGTGGCCATTTTGACCTCCCCCTAGATTCTAACCAGAGATACAGAATGAGAAAAAATTGTGCCCCGAGGTGTCTGAACAGACACCACTGTGCTCCAGGATGCTTATATTTATTACCTGGGGCTGTTTGTAAATGTGTTAACATCTTGAAGCCTCAGTTTCTTCATCTATAAAATGGGGACCACACTGCCTCTTAGAAGACAGTTGTTAGGACCAAAAGCCAGGAGTGTGAGACGTCTGGTCACGAAGGACCCGGTGCCTCTGGTGACTGAGAGGGCAGACAGAGCAGGACCCAAGGTCCCAAATACGGCCAGGGAAACAAAGGGCTGAAAAGGGAGACCCTGGAATGTAGTAGCGTCGTTGGGAGTCCAGGGGTGTGAGAGGAGTGAGCATTCTGGAAATTTCTACAGAGTGGAGAGAATGAGATGTGTCCATACCCCAGAGGCATGTGGGACTTCTCTCTCCTCCACTGCAGGGATAATGAGTCGCCTCTGGAAAAAGTACCTGGGTCTGAGTCTAGGAGGCGGGTTCAAACCGCATTTCTGTGACCTTGAACAAGTGAGTTGACCCCAGGGTCCACAGTTTCCTCCTTCCAGAATTGGGTGGAAGGACACTGACTGCTCAGAGCTAACATGCTGGCTGAAATGAGCGCCCCCCCCCCGGGCTTAGCTCAGCGCTGGGCTCGGGCTGCTTTTGCTCAGAAGCGTCAGTGCTTTTTTCTCTTTGCGGGATTCCCGCCCGCCCTCGGGGTTAACATCTCCAGCCCCCACCGGTCCCTTCAGCCTTTGTGTCCGGCTCAGTCTCCCTCCCCTCCCAACCTGGGAGGTCGTTTCCATTCCCACCCCACGACAGGTAATTATCTCAGATGCACATCCAATTAGGCCCCCCCTCGCCTCAGGGTCCAATCTCACAGTTCTTGGCGTGGGGCAGTGTGGGTGGACATTTGAGTTCAAGGTCAAAGTCAGACCAAACACCAAGGCACAAGGCCTTATTGGCTGCCCCACTCTGCTAGCCTGGGTTTGCTTTCTTCAGCTACAATTCCCTTTTGTTCTTTGGCAAGAGCCCCATTAAAATGGTGTTGTGTGTTCCCTAGAACCTGGTGATGGATTAGCTCTAGGCTGGGGGCTCTGCCCCATTGTAGGCCGGCCACGACTCATGTCCCCCCAAGCTGCTTTGGGTCCCCTGTGCCCCTGAGAAGCAGGGCCCGGATGAGGCCACGCGGGCTTTCCTCCATCTGCGAGAACTTCCGAGCACAGCTGGAACCCAGGCTTTCCCACGAACATGAAACATAAAAGCCAGAATCTAATCCTGGAGGGGAAGATGAGTGATCCAGGAAGCTCCAATATTCCTCACTGGCCGGGCCGGGAAAGCAGTGGGTTCTTTCATTTCCATTCTCTTTGTGCACGGGTATCCAGGCTAGAAAAGAGATGTTTCTCCTCATTTTTTCCCTTTGTCCGCTTTCCCTTGTTTGCTCTTCTTCTTCTTTTCCTGTGTCTTGTCTTGTTCTGTTTTTACCTCCTCCCCTCCCTCCCCCTCCCCTCCCTATTCCTTCCCTCCTACTCTGCCCCCCTTCCTTCCCATCTTCTTTCCAGGTGTCTTTGTTTTCCTGTCTTCCCGCCCACGTGTCAGCTGCTTGGGCAGAAGGAAGAGCCATTCTGCAGATGTGGGAGGGCCGGTGTTGCACGCCGCGTGGTTGACAGAGCCCTGTTCCCCTCGGTGTGCAGTCAAGAAAACTTAGGCTCAGAGGGGTTCCGGGGGATTCACTCACAGGGGCGAAGCTGAACTCCAAACCCAAGTTCAGTTGACTCTGGATCCGAATCTTAATGCTCCGCCTGCGCCCAGCTAAGCCCAATGCATATGCAGGGCGTGTTAGCATTTCTTAAAACAACTGGGAGTGTGACGCTCAGCCCTGCCTCACCTCTTTCGTGTGCTGGCCTCAGTTTCCCCACGTGAACAACCCGGAACCGTGCTGGGTGGTCCCCGCATCCCAGAGTTCCTGACCAGTTGTCTGCTTCTGTCCTCAGAGGTGGCTGACGGCCTCTGCTGTGTGCTGACCACACCATGCCTCACTCAGAGCACGGCCGCCCCGGCAGTGAGGGCCCCCGACTCGCCCGTCACCTTGCGCCAGAAGGCCTTTGACTGGAAGAGGGTGCCCAGGTGAGGTGGCTGTGTGTGTGTGTCCCCCACATGAACGCATGGACCCCAGACCAGTGCGGGAGCCACATTGCCAAAAATACGGCACGCCAGAGCCAGCCCAGTGGAAAGCTGAGGGTGGGCGCTCTGAGCAAGTGCATGCCCGTAGAATCCCACTGCTCCCTTGGAGGCAGACCCAGCTTGGGGCCTCGCAACCGTTACATTTTAAGGGGTTTCTGTCGTTGGGAATTGGTGAGTTTTCTTAATCAAACACCGATCCGGACATTCCACTGGCAAAGTCAAGGAAAATCAGAGATCAGAACTGCCCAGGAGATCTCGGAATAAAACTGCTCTTCCTTGTAAATATCATAAAGCAATATTCATTCAAACTTGCAAGTGGGAGGTACAGCCATCCAAGCGAATGGCAGTTCAGAGAGGTTAAGTGATTTCTCCAAGATCACACAGCCATAGACATAAGAAGCAGAATTAGAATAATAACTTAGAGAAATATTAACCAGGCTTTCCCCCCCCCCCCCGTTTTTCCTTCTCCCATTTGCTTGCTCTCCATTGCTCTACGTCTCTCTCTTTTTTGCCTCCCTCTGCCCCCATCCTTCCCACTCACAGACTACAAGAGGACTCCGAGGGGGCCAGGAACTCACTTGGCGTTGATGAGTCCCTTTTCAGCTATGGCCTTCGGGAAAGCATTGCTTCCTACCTGTCCCTGACCAGCGACGACAGCACCTCCTTTGACCGAAAGAAGAAAAGCATGTCCTTGATATACAGCGGGAGCAAGAGAAAGAGCGCTTTCTTCTCCTCGCCACCGTATTTTGAAGACTAGCCTGAGAACAGACACCATGGCATGGGCCCCAAATAACGGGCTTGAACCGTCACCTGGGATCTGGCACAGACGCCTAGGTCCCCGGTCCCTGGGGACCCGCACATCTCCCGGAAGCCAAGAGAAGTCACCTGGAGACTCGAACTCACATCTTCTCTAGCCACAGCACGGCAAAGGGAACCCCTCGCCGGTGTCTCCTCAGTACTGAGACAGCGCAGAAGGCTGAATGGGGATGTGACCCGGCAGCGCTTCAGAAGTGCCCGCACATTCACGGGTGCTCACTGTGTTTGTGGGAAGGATAAAGACATTAGCTCACAAGAAGGGCCACAAGACTGTTCTCCAAACAAACTGTCCAGAGGGTTGCACTCTGAGCTCCTCAGAGAAAACTTCTCGATGAGAGAAGCCTGAGGAGATGAGCTGAGAGCCGGGGCCCGGCCAGTCTTGGGTTTACAAGATGGGCTCCTGCAGTCAACCGTCCTAAGCCAGCCATCACCAGACCTCTGTACACATCTCCCCTCTTTTTAAGGGAACTCAGTGACACTAAACGTTAAGCTTCCCTATTATCCCTGAAGCAGGAGAGCCTGTTGGCCTCCTGATGTCAGAGCCTCACGTACAGAAGTCAGACGGCCTCCCTGCTTCTGCAGAGAGCAGGGCAGATGGGAGAGAGGGAGGCCGCTTGCAGGGAAGTGTGAGGGTAGCCCTGGAACGGGGCAAGCTTTCCTGGTGTCCCCGGCTGAGGTTCTACAGCGCCAGAAGAGCTTCTTGGACACGCTGAGATTCTTCCCAGTAATAATGCATCAAGTATTCACTTGTGATTGCCTGAAGAGGTAAAGTGTTAGGTCCCATGTCAGGAAGGAAGGAAGGAAGGAAGGATGGATGGATGGATGGATGGATCAGGGGAGGCACTCAGTGTAGACAGGGAAAAAAGTGTACTCACAAATATCGTGAAAGTGGGGTTTGAAAGGAAATGAGCTCATGGCTCAGGAGTGGGGGAACTGGATCAGGTAAGGGTGTCCCATGAGCTCATGTCTCAGCTGGATGTCACAGAGTATACGTTCAGCTAGATTGAGTAGGTAACAATGGTCAGCTTTTTTGAAAAAAAAAAAAAGGAAACTGATTAATTCTATAGAATTAATTCCTCCAGTATTTTCTTCCACCAAGGGTCTGGCAGCCACATAAATAAAACTGCTGAGCTCCAGGAAAGAAGGGAGTCGGAGTGGCTTTAATGCTGTCATATGAATTTTGAGAGATGAGAGAGAAAGCATAGTCAAGTTCTAGAAAAGGAGAAGTATTTATCTCAAGGCTGCCCATCCAGATTCGGTTAGGAAGGGGGCCGCAGAGACAGCCATGACTCATTTTCCCCTGTTGCAAAGGGATTCAGGGGGAGGAGGGCCTCCTGAGATACCCCTCGCTGCCTGATATGAGAAATCTGTTCACCACACGCATTCCGTAGATCTGAGGTCACTGTGTTAGTGGTACGTGTACTTGCATTTATGTGATTTTCTATATCATCAGACTCTGGTGTGTTTATACAAGAAGACATTTATGGCTTCCCCAATAATCCCCAAAGGCTGTTACAAAGGGACCAGCCGATGTATGGGAAGTGAATGTAACACTGCGAACGCTGACTTCTAGCCCGAGACTGGGGGACCTCACGAATGCCAGATGTTTGGACAGTGTCTTATGCATCGTTTTCCGTTGTGACTAGCGTGCAGGGAACTTTAGGGGAGCACGCAGAGGTATTTTGAAGCGGGAAGCATTATACTTTGCTAAATCATGTATTTATTTCTGATTAAACTATACCTAATAAATATTTAACCCCTGGAATGTGGAGAGACCTTTCTGGGCAAGGTGGGTGGGTGGTTCATTTGGAAGCTTCTTTGGATTTTGAAATGTTCAAATAAACTCATCTCTAGAGAGAGAGGAGAGCAGGAACACCACGAGGAAACACACTGGTTAGCAGCTCACCTTTTACTGGAAGTGCAGCCTTAAGAAAACTGGGGTTTGTGAATTTTGAGGGTGTCTTATCAAACTCGAAGGTGGACACAGGGAGTTGGGGGAGAGAACAATTTCTTAGCGACTGTGATGAACATTCTGCCTCCCCTACATTACTTCCGCAAATCACTTTTGAGGCCTCGGCTTTTTGTTTTTCCAAGAATTTGTTTCTACAAATATTTTTTTTTTTGAAACCTATTAAATACCGGACACTGCTCTGGGTGCTTGGGCTGTAGCCATGAAAACCAGATGAGGGCTCTGGTGTCACAGAGAGTGAGATCATCAATAAACACAGGCAGGGCCCTGGATGGGAGCTTAGGGTTTTAGGGTCTATTCTAGGAGAAATGCAAAACCAATGAAAGGATCTAATTGGGGGAGTGATATCATCTCTCCAGCATACTGGTCACTGTGAAGAGAATAAATTTTTTAAATTCTGGTGGTATGGGTGGCTCAGTTAGTTAAGCTTCCAACTCTTGATTTCAGCTAGGTCACGATCTCACGGTTCGTAGGTTCGAGCCCCGTGTCAGGCTCTGCACTGGCAGTACAGAACTTGTTTGGGATTCTCTCTCTTCTTCTCTCTCTCTGCCCCTCCCCTGATTGCTCCCTCCCAACATAAATAAATAAACTTAAAATAAATAAGTTCATACATACATTAAATTCTGGTGTTGCATTACCTACTTGACACATAGTGAAGACAAAAGAATGCAAAACTTGAAATAAAGGGATGGAAAAGTCTTTGTACAAAAACAGACAAAGGGAAAGTGCTGAATTTTGAGGCAAAATGGAATTTGAAGCAAAAATAAATTGTCTAAAGGCAAAGAGAGACGTTACAAAAGGAATGACACATGAAGAAGATATAATGACTGAACCTGTATTATCTAAAAATATGGTTTCCAAATGTATTAGGCAACTATTGTAGGGACAAATAGATAAATGAATCATTTTGTGTGGAGATTTAAACACACAACTCTCAGAAACTGAGTGATCAAGCAAAGATAAGTAGATAAGTAAACAGCAGGTTTTGATAACACTATACAACTTTCCTGTCAACAAATGAAGAGTACATTAGGTCACAGAGAAAGTCCAAATAAATTTCAGAGTCAGGCTTCTCCAACTCATGGTCCATGATAATAATGAAATAACATTAAAAATCAATTTGCAAAAGGATGGGTAAAAATCGTACAAATCTAAATAAGCTTTTAAGGGGAAGAAAAAAAGAAGAGACATCCCCTTGGGTTAAGAAGAACCCAATACAAGAAATAATAAAAGACACAGAAATACAGGGCCCAGTGCTACTTCTCACACTTCCCTGGGCTTACGTGACACAATAGTAGGTGGGGCATTTATGTTTTGAAATCCACTGATCAGAAAACAAAGAACAGGAGTGAGGTTGGATTTCTACTCAAGAAGCTAAGAGAAAAACTGGTTGTCAAGGAAACAAAGAGAAAGTAAAAAATGACAAAGGTAAACGTGGATGAAATGAAAGTTTTAACAATATACTCATAAAGAAGATTCAGAAAGCAAAACATTGTTTAAATAGTCAGAGGAACAGGTCCCAGAAAAACAGGAGCAAGAATGATCATGTCAAAGAAGAAAAGTCTGGGGCGCCTGGGTGGCTTAGTCGGTTAAGCGTCCGACTTTCGTTTAGGTCATGATCTCGTGGTTCGTGTGTTCGAGCCCCACATCGGGCTCTGTGCTGACTGCCAGCTCAGAGCCTGGAGCCTGTTTTAGTCTGTGACTCCCTCTCTCTCTGACCCTCCCCTGCTCACGCTGTCTCTCTCCTAGAAATAAAAAAAATTAAAAAAATTAAAAAAAAAAAGAAGAAAAGTCAGTCAGCTGCAGGGCTGCATGTAAGGGGGTCTCTGTGGGGGAGGGGAGAGGGCGCCTCTCCCCCTCCCTCAGTCAGCCTGGGTGGCCTCTCCCCCTCTGCCCCCATCCTGATGTCTGAGCTGCCCAGACACGGCCCTGCTGACGGGAACAAGGCTCCCAGATGGCAGAGAAACACCTAGAAGGAACACATGCCCCTAGAGATCATGAGACATCGTGGGAAATATTATGATAAAATGAAAAAAAGAAACAATTATTACTTAAGCTCCTTCTCTTTGCTAGAGCAGCTGAGCATTTTTGTTCAAAGGGTACAGAAGTTAACCTGCCAACATTTATGGATAATGAAATACTGTCATGGAAAATCCAGTGGGGCTAACTGATCAAGCATTGGAAGTGGGAAGAAGGCTTGGCAAATTCGGAGCCAACTTTACTTCCTGATACCAGTGCTGACCAGCTGGGAAATACCATAAAAAATACAACACCCTTCCCAACACCAACCCGATGAGAATACAGGTAGAGACTTGCCTACAATGACTTCACAACACTTTTGTGGACAGAAGTTCAAAACTCTATGAAAAGATGTAAGGAGACAAAAGTCCTGTTTGTTTGTAGTGGTGTCAACCTGATTCATGGACGCAAGATTTAACATCATAAAAACATAGAGTCTTTCTTTTAATTCATTGAAAAATTTCATGAAAATACACTTAAATTCCCATCAAGACTATTTAAAGACAATCAATAGACTTACTGCGAAATGCAGATGAGAGCATTGGAGCCCATGAATATCTCAATTAAAAAAAATGTTTATTTATTTTTGAGAGAGAGACAGAGCATGAGTGGGGGAGGAGCAGAGAGAGAGGGAGACATAGAATCCAAAGCAGGCACCAGGTCAGAGCTGTCAGCACAGAGCCCAATGCAGAACTCGAACTCACAAACCGTGAGATGATGACCTCAGTCAAAGTCAGACGCTTAACCAGCTGAACCACCCAGGCGCCCCTCAGTCAATTTTGATTCAGAGAAATGGAGGAGAAAGTGCTTGAATGAGGAGGTTTGTGTGGAAAGAGAAGAAAACTTGGGCTCCTCCACCAGTTTAATGGCCCTCAGCCCAGGCTTCGGGGCCCTCTCCAGGCTGTGCTAGTGTTAAGGAAGTTCTAAGAAGAAAATCTCATGTTCCCAGTTAAGCGTTCAGTCATAGCAGCATTGGAATAAGATACATCGGAAGACTAACCAGTAGGCAAGACAAGGCAGTATTCCTAAAAATTGCCAAATAGAGGTCTCTTCACCAAGGCGAGAGTCATTCTGCTTTAAGAGATGGAGAAAGGCTGAGAGGCTCCGTTTCAGCCAAGCCTCAAAGAAGGGAGCGACTTTTTAGGTGGAGGAGCGGACATGCCGACCACGAGCAGCTGACCACGAACAGCGACGGAAAGGTGTGGAAGGAGGCATGGCATTTTCTAGGAATGTGGATGGCCAGTGAGCCCGGAGTGCAGGGCTCATGCAGGAAGGCGGCAGAAAAAGGAGACAGGAAAATGCAGCTTGGAGCCAACTCATGGGGCCTGGCACTCGCCCTGAGGAATGCAGAATTAGGGCAGTGTTGTAGGAGGGCAATGGAAATCTCTTCTGGACTCTATGAATCGTGCCACTTAGGGCATGACCTCCTCTGTCTTCTCTTAAAGCCACATCAGAGCCATGCAGTTCATGTTTGCAACATGTCCCCCCCTCTTTCTTCCTCCAGCCGGCCCCACGGGCAGGTGAAATAACCCCAGACAATCTTTCGTTTGGCGTTGCCCTAGCTTAGCAGGGTGAAGCGAAACCTTGATTTCTTGAGTTCCTGGATTTCTTGAGTTTCTTGGGTGTGCAGGACACTTGGCAAACCCAATGTGATGCCAACTGTTCAAGAAATTAATCATACTGATTTTATCCATAAAGAATGCAAGAGCGAAGGGTTTTACCCAAGGCCAGGACCTTAAGGGGCGTTTGTCTGATCCTAGGTGTGGGCTCTTTCTCTTATACCTTAAGACCCCGAAAGAGTCTCATGTTTCTGGAGAAGCAGCTTCGTAGAGTGGGGGAAACACAGAACGAGGCTTTAGGTAGTAGCCCCTAATGTAGCTACATGGCCGTGTGTTTCTTAGCCCATCACTAAACCTCTCTAAGCCTCAGACTTCTTACCTCCAGGTTGCAAATAATATAAAGACCCCATGCCACTTAATGTGAACGCTCTATGAGCTAATACATTGGAAGTGCTCTATGGCCTTGAAGATGCTCAATGAAGTTATTAATTATCACAGGAGCCTGTCTCCCTTGGTATTTATTTCAACAGCTCTGGCCTCAAGCATTGCCAAAATACTGAAGATTTTATCCAAGAATATATCACCAACTCACATCCATTCCCCCAAACAGCTGTTGGCAAAGAACACGTTGAGGAGCCGCTAATATATCGAAGTATTTTTGTTCCCTCGATTCTAAATAATTTCACATGCATCCCAAAGACTGCTGGGAGCAGTTGTAGAAGCTGCTTCTAAATGACTGAACCAGATGGAGTTTATTTTTAAATACATGGCCATTTGCTAAAACAGATTAGTTTTTGAAATCCCCCAAACACCTAAACTCTCCAGACTTTTCAAAAAGATAACTTGGCCTCCTGGGCCTCCTGGAAGGTATTTCTGGTGCCTTTCAGGTCCCACTGAGTGTCTGGTTTCTGAGAAGGCGCAGAGGAAATCCCTCCAGGAGCAATGCAAAGTCAGGAAGTTCTGTTTCCAACACCAGGAATTGAAGGATGTTTGGGCTCGGACGTCTAGAGAGGGAGCGAGCGAAGAAATTCCAGAACAAAGGGGCACGAGAAAGTGGTGGTGGGGAGGCAGGAGGCCTGGCCTCCCCATTCCTCTGCTCTCTCACTTCCTGGAGGGAGCATCTAAGCTAAGACAGCCGGGCTGGGTGCTTGGGGCCCTGGGAGGGCCAGGCACGGCTGCCCCTGCTCTCTGGGAGCTTCCCATCTTGTGAGAGGGACTGATTTGACAGTGGGGAAAATTATCTACTGGTGGGAAATCATAAATGCTGTACAGAGAAGTACGGGCAGCATAAATCATACAAAGGGGGTCTGGTTCTGGGCCGAATAGTCTGGAAGGATCCCCTGAAGGACAAACAGAGCAGGCAAAGAGGAAGACGGGAGAAAAGTGTTCCGCACAGAGGAAACCTCCTGTATGACGCAGAACAGAGCGTGGACCCTTCAAGGAACGTTGGAAGGCTCCAGTGGCTGAAGGAGAGAGAGAAGGTAGCAGGTGGTACTGCTTCCTCTTAGGGATGGTGATGATGTTGACCCAGCAGCATTTATGCCCAAATGATGTCACCCCCATCCTTCTTACTAAGAAGGATTTGGATCCCAGTAGGCTGGACCATGCTGCAGTGTGGTTATACACCTTAGATTGGCTAGCCGGTCCGTGGCATTGGTCTTGATGGCTCTGCATCTTAATCTGGCTACTTAATAATCTCATCATTGCTTTCTCTGCTTTCAGGAGTATCCCTCTTAAATGCAGCCTCCACTCAGCTCTAAGACAAGTCTTCCTAAAGGGAAGCAAGTTTCCCCCTTGCCTAAAAGCCCTTTGATAGCACACCAAAGTTCATCACAGCACTATTCACAGTAAGGCAGAAATAACCCCAGTGTCTATCAACAGATGAATGCATGAACAAAATGTGGGATACGCGGGGTGGCCGGCTGGCTCAGTCGGTTGGACGTCTGACTTTGGTTCAGGTAATGATCTCATGCTCCGTGGGTTTGAGCCCCGTGTCGGGCTCTTTGCTGACAGCTCTGAGCCTGGAGTCTGGTTTGGATTCTGTGTTTCCCTTGCTCTCTGCTCACCCCTCCCCCACTCACATTCTATCTGTCTCTCTCCCTCAAAAATAAATAAACATTAAAATTTTTTTTAAATGTGGTACACGCATACAATGGAATATTATTCAACCTAGAAAGGAAGGAAATTCTGATATAAACTACAATATATAGGAACTTACGGTTCAACCATTATTTCATTATGCTAAGTGAAATAAGCCGCAGACACACACACACACACACATACACACACACACACACACACACACACCAAATTTTGTCTGATTCCACTAATGTGAGGTACCTAGAATCGGCAAATTTGTAGAAACAGATGGTAAATAGGGGGTATCAGGGGTTGGGAACCGGGGGGATGGGGGTATTGTTTGCTATGTACAGAGTTTCTGTTTGGGATGGAAATGATTAGTGGTGACAATTGTACAACACTATAATTGAATGTGCTTGATGACACTGAATTGTACAGTTGAAAATGGTTAAAAGAGGAAACTCAACCAAATGGAACCCAACCAAACACGCAAACAAACATACCCCTTCAACGGCTCCCATCATGGAGGATGATACCCAAGGTGTTCGGTGTAGTCCAGCTGCTCTCTACCTCCCCGTCTCCATCACTCCTGCCCTGTCCCACACCGCAACCCAGGGCAGGCAGACCCCTGCGAGGAGCCCAGCTGTCCCTGAGTGCTGGGACTGTGCCCGTGGTTCAATGCCTACACAGGCATTTGCTCAGACATGCCTTCTCCTGGGAAGTGTCCCTGGACATTCCCTCCTTCCCTTGGGCTTGGATGGGGGCTTCTTTCTGAGCTGCCCTAAGACTGTGTTTTAAATATCTGCTTTAAGTGTTTGTCCCACACCCCTCAGTAACCTACAAGCTTCCCAAGAACTAGGACATGAATTATTTAGCATGGCATTGCCAGCCCTTAGCATGGCACCTGGCACAGACTAAATGCTCCACAAAATTAGAAGCTCATCAATGACAGAATAACCCTCAGGGCTTATGCTGTGATCAACCAGGCTATTTCTTCCATAATAGTTACTGTCATGATCGACATCATTGTTATCACCATCATCAGTATGATAATATCACCATCATCATCATCATCATCATCATCATCATCATCTACCAGGAACTTCATGAAACCACCCAGTAGACTCATGAGTGCTGCATTCTATTCTTTGCCTTCATTCAACAGTCAGTGACTCGATTGGCCAAACCTTGGAAGCTCCATGCTTCACCCTGTGGCTGCTGACCCAGCTGCCTGCCACTCTTTGGTCCACCACATGGGCAGGCTCTGGGGGCTCCACCTCCCCTCATCCCGCAGGCAAAGGAAACAACAATGAGGTAGAAGGGATTAGATACGGGGATGAATCGCCCAGTGGTACTCCCCAAAGAAACACTACCAGAACTGAATCTCAGCAGGAGATTTGGTGCATGGGCTGTTGAAGAAACCAGACAGCATAAGGGAATATTTTCAAGCTCAAACCCGAGAAGGTCAGGGAAGCAACACTGGGGAACAGGTAGATGAGAACTCTCTTGTTTCACTTCTCTACTGTCATGAGCAATACTGTTGGGTGTAGTCAGTGTCATATCGGCTAAACTGTGCCCTCATCGTTAGATTTTCTTTGACCAGAAAGCATCTCATCCTACACTCTACCCCCTTATGTTTTTCTATCAACAAGAGATGTCTTCAAGAGTTCAGACCACCAAACCCTACTGAGGCAATCTCCCAAAACAGAAACACTTCCCCATCTAGAACTTCCCTCAGTTTAGGATGCTGGACTGTAGTCAGGGGAGTCCCTCCGCATCCTGGAGTCACATGCACATGGAAAGATGGCCATGAGCTAACATGGATAAAGGAAACCAAGCAATCAAAACCAACTGGTCTTAAGAGGCAAGTGAGTGGGTGCCTGGGTGGCTTAGTCGGTTAAGCGTCCGACTTTCGTTTAGGTCATGATCTCGCGGTTCGTGGGTTCGAGCCCCGCATCGGGCTCTGTGCTGACTGCCAGCTCAGAGCCTGGACCTTTTTCAGTCTGTGACTCCCTCTCTCTCTGACCCTCCCCTGCTCATGCTGTCTCTCTCTCTCTCCTAGAAATAAATAAAAAACATTAAAAAAAATAAAAAAAAAAAAGAGGCAAGTGAGGACCCCCTCACCTCACCAGTATCTAAAACATGGCTGAAGGCAGCACAGACTCACCATCAGCACGGCCCTCCGGAAGAGTTTGGAGTCAGAGGCCCTGGTGGTTAAAAGGTGGATGCTGGCCACATCAGCTCCACCACGGTCTGCTGCCAGGGTCACACGTCGAGGGTCCCCACCAAACACTGCGATGTGGGTCTGCACCCAGGTCAGAGCCGCCAGCTGGTCCCTCAGTCCCCAGTTGCCACTCGTCTCTCCAGAGCCTGCAGAAAGAGGAGAGCCTTTTACCCTCTGCGATTTTACAATCTGGATTTTGGTCACCCTGGTGGTGTCTGAGCCAGGCTTGCGGCGCCTCTGGGGGACCTGGACTCCTGGCTAGCCGTACGCGTCAGGACAGTGGGAACAGCATGGGCTCCAGAATGAGGAGTGTCCAGTCTTTGCTGGGTAGGAGACCCTAACGTCATTCTTCAGTGTGTCTGGGCCACAGCCTTCCCGCCATAGGTGGGGCCACTTGCTCGAGCAGCTGTTTACATTAGAGTCAGTGCGCTTTCAGATTACCACCTGGTGTGGCACGTCAGTGGGGATGCTCCCCTATCTCGGCCCATGTGGTGGCCCTCCATGCCTACTCCTCCCTGACAAGGACCAGGCCTGGCTGAGGTGCTCCATCTGGTTCCTTCCTACTGCCTCTTCTGTGACCTTCAGTAGCATTCAGCAGAGTTGATCTCTATTCTTTTTTCATAGAATTTAGTAAATATTTATTTTTAAAAATGTTTAATCTTTATTTTTTTTTGGAGAGAGAGAGAAACACGGTGTGGACAAGGGAGGGTCAGAGAGAGGGAGATACAGAATCTGAAGCAGGCTCCAGGCCGAACTATCAGCACAGAGTCTGACGTCGGGCTCGAACCCATGAACTGTGAGATCCTGACCTGAGCCGAAGTCAGACACTTAACCAACTGAGCCACCCAGGTGCCCCTAGAATTTAGTAAATATTTTTTTACTGAAGAGCTCAGCAGTATTTTCTTAATGATGTGATTCATACACACACACACACACACACACACACACACACACACACACACACACACAACACGTATAGCATAGCAAAGACATATTCTTCTCCTCGGCACTTGGGACATTCTATGCCCATGCCTTCTGGCCATCCTCTGAATCCAGTGGATCCTCGTTGGCGGTCTACACAGCTAAGCACTCTGAGACACCTGGTCTCTTCTAGCTCAAGCTGAGAGTCCCCCACTTTGCTCTAGGAAACGCCAACAGATCCCATGCCTCCACCCACCACCCACCTGCTCATGACTTGGGAGTGTCAGGGGCAGAGTCCCCTCCCAGCTCAAGTCTCCAAGAGGCTACCTCGCTGAAGGCACTTCAAGTGCGTTGAGTCTCAAAGGGAATCGATTCCAAGTCCCCTGAGCATGCAGCCAGGACCCTTTGCAGAATTTCTCACGTCCTCCTTCTAATGCAGCGCCACCCACCTGGTCTGCTCCTGCACAACCTCGGAGTCCTCCCTGACATTTGCTGTGCTCCACCCCCACCCCTTCTCTTCCCCGGGTGCTCCGGGGTCTCCGGGCTCTCTCCCCACTAACCTCCTCAGTGCTTCTCACTGGCCTGTATCCGTGCTCCTCTCCCTCTGATTCTCCAGGCCACATCCCGAGTGGTCTTTTACTTTTTTTAATGTTTATTTATTTATTTTGAGGCACAGGGGAAGGGCAGAGAGAGGGGCAGGGGAAAGAGAGAATTCCAAGCAGCCTGCACACTGTCAGCACAGAGCTCAATGCAGGGCTGAGAACCCACGAACCGCGAGATCACAACCTGAGCCGAAACCAAGATTCAGATGCTTAACCAGTTGGGCCACCCAGATGCTCTCTGAGCATCATTTTGATCATGTCTCTCTTTCTCTCTCTCTCTCACGCACACACACGCACACCCTGCCCCATCCTGTCTAAAATTTCCCACCTCATCCCATTAGGACATGGTCTCAGTTCTCCCAATGCATTCAAGACACCATGGGACTGGGGTGTCTGTCCCATCTCCCTTCATCTCCTCCCCATGCCTGGCTTATCAGTTGCTCAAACACACTGGGGTCATTCTCTTCCAGGCGGGTGCTTGGCACATGGGGTCTCCTCTGCCCAGAGCCCTGGCCTCCCCCTGGCCTTCCTCATCTTCTTCCTCTGGCCCAGCCATCCTTCAAGTGTTTGCAATGCCATTATTCAGAGGCAGCCCTCCGGTGAAGCAGGGTTCCCCAATCCGGGTACTTGTCACCTGGGTATCGCCTCCCTTGCTAGATCGTGTTCCCCACTGAAATTAGGGGCACACAGCAGGTCCTTAGGAAATGTCAGGCGAATGAATGACCTAGCGATGATCAACAGGGTTCAGTATCTAGGGAGAAACTATCGGCGAGACTCCATAATCCCGAACAGAAAACTAGAAGGATCTTGCATCCCAATTCGCCAACCTGGTGCTCACAAAGCTGACGAGAATGCCTGCTCAGGGGACATAATAGCACAGATTACTCTTCCAGCTGGGAAGACTCGTAGAATTTCTTCAAATGCATTTTGTGCTCTGCTTTTGGTGAAGACATTAGCAGCATCCTCACCGTGACTTTTCTGGATTGTGCTTCCATTCCGCTTGTTAGGAGGAATGCGTTTGTTTCTGAGGTCCCGGGCAGGGCAGGGAAGCAGGGTGCCAACTGAGGAGGACCCGATCCTGGACGTCTCAGAAGTGACGTCCACAGCCTGTGTTTCCAGTGACAAGGTAGGAGGGTTGGGGGTGGCTGTCCCTGACTCTCCCTTCCCATATATCAGCTTCCCAAGGACACTGTTGACATTATGGGGTCTACAAACCCTGAGGAAGCCAGATGGGGAGGGGGCCTTCAGGGGCTGCTCTTGAGACAAGTCTGAATCGGGCTTTTCCTGGTGCGAGGTGCAGCCTCGGGTTCCATGGGGAGCAAGATAGGCGTGTTCCTGGCCCTCAGGACACACGGCATCAGCAGCGCATACACAGGCAGTGAGCCAGCTGGTCTTGGACAGTCCACGCCAAGCCCCCTCCTTCACTGAGAAGGAACCTGTAACCCAGGGGAATGTTTGCTTTGGCGCAAGAAGCAAATGTTAAGATAAAGTCGGGACGTCGATCCCAATGCCTCCTCGGAACTCTCTGTCCTAACACTCAGTCCAACTCAACAAACACTGGTTGGAAAGTCTATGATGTGCAAGGCACTGTGTTATTTTCATGAAAAATGTCTAAGTCCTCCTGTTATGGAATTTTCTGTACTTGAAAGCCCTCCTGACTCCCTCACTCCTACTGCATCAAGTCTAAACATCTTCCTGGCTTTTGAGATCCTCTAAGAATAGACTCAACCCATCCAAGCCGTCTGGGCTCCCTTCATTCTCCAGCTCCGACCCTTGCCCAGCCATCAAGGCCAAGTTCATTCCCCTGCAGTCTGGTTGGCTGTGGGTGACTGGAAGCCCCCTTGGCTTCATCCTGCTACACACATGAGCTGTGTAGTCCAGCAGGGAGACAGATGTGAGCAGATGTCCACCCCTGTGCACCCACCCCAGCCGCCCTGACCTGCCCTTCCACCTCCAGTGTCCTGACCCTGTGACCCGTAGAACCACCCCAGCCAATATCTAACTATTCCCTCACTCCCTCACTGGTTCTCACCAGCTCGTTAGATTTCTTCCACTACCCTCCGAAGCCCTCCGGGCTCACAGTGGGCCCTGACCCAGTCTCGCTGATGGCCACCAATAAGAGGCAGCAGGGGAGAGGCCAAGCGCTCAGGTGACAGAGCCAGCCCGGCTGTGTGCAGACCCCAGCTCCACCACCTACCGGCACTGAGGGGTCCCTGGACAAGCCGCTGGGTGGGACTTGATCTTCCCTGTCTATAAAGCGGAAATAATAACCACGCTCGTCTCTTTAGGCTGCGAGGATGCTTGAATTTGTTCACGATCGTAAAGGCAACAGAGCAGCGCCTGGCACAAAGCACTGTAGAATTTGTCTAGCTTTGCTTGAATAGAATAAAACAGACTTAGGCCCCGGCAATCTCTCACAGATGCTCTTTGCAGAGCGTGCCTTGGCTTGTGCAGCGGAAATTGCACTTGCGGAGGGGCGGCCACCGAGACAGGGTTCTGTGCCCATCCTCTGGGCTGGAGGGTGGCCACGTCTCTTGGGAGGCATCCGAGGGCCCCGGGGATGACGCGGTGATGGTGACGGTCCCGCGCCTGGCCTTCTGACTGACTCCCTGGCCAAAGCGCACTTTGTCTGTCCACACACCCTGCAGAGGGTCTGCGGGCCGACCCGCCCACTCATCCTCCGAGCCTGCACACCACCTGCCCCATTACCACTGCACTGCTTTGCCAGAGAAATGATCATCGCTGTGCCTTGTGCCCCCTGGGGTCTGTCCCACCTGCAAGATCCAGGCAGGGAAAATGCCCCCCAGCCCCCCTGGGGACCAGCCACCTCAGGTCCGTTCCAAGTGCCCAGCTCACCAGGAACCAGGGCCCCTTGGAGTCTGGTTGGGCTTTTCCCTTTTCTTGCTGAGAACGTGAGTTTGTCCAGTCGGCTCACTGCCATCAGCTTCTGTTTTCATGCCTCCTCCATCCCTTTTCAAAAGTGCCTCTGGGGCCCCTGGAGGGTCAGGTGGTTAAGCGTCTGACTCTTCATTTCAGCTCCGGTCATGATCTCGTGGTTCGTGGGTTCAAGCCCCACGTCGGGCTCTGTGCTACCAGTTCGGAGCCTGCTTGCGATTCTCTCTTTCTCTCTTCCCCTTCCCCACTCCCTCTCTCTCTCTCTCTCTAAATAAATAAATAAGTATAAATAAACTTAAAAAAATAATAAAATACGAAAAGTGCCTCTGGAGTCTGGAGCTCTCGGAAGACCATTTCCACTCTGGGCTACAACAGCAGGTGCCGTATGTGTTGATCGCATGAGATAATGTGCGTAGACTCAGTTAATGCCAGAGGCTGTTGCGGCTGCTGTGGCCCAGGGGCAGCTCTGTGCCAGCTACTTGCTGATGCGGAGCCACTACCATAACACAACCCTGCCTTGAAGGAGCTCCATCCAGGGAAAGAAAGGGGGCATTAACCCTGTGAGCCCCTGCTAAGGGCCAGGTGTCTGCCTTCCACCCACCCGTACCCCGTCATCTGCCCACGTGTCGTTTGAGAGACGGGCAGCCTGTGAGTGGATGTAGAGGGAGGGAACTGCCCAGAGCCCCTGGGGCCCACAGAGCTGCCCTCAGACCCTGCTCTGCTCAGACACAAAGCCTGTGAGCCATGTAGGGCACTAGGCTCAGGTTGGTACTCAAACCAGCCCGTCTCTTTCCAGACCTATATTGTGAACTGCAGTTTCCAACTATTGAAAATGGAAAAGCGGATGGGGATGCGTGGGGGGCTCAGTCCATTAAGTGTCTGACTTTGGCTCAGGTCGTGACCTCACTGTTTGTGGGTTTGAGCCCCGGGTCCAGTCCTGTGCTGACAGCTCAGAGCCTGGAGCCTGCTTTGGAATCTGTGTCTCCCTCTCCCCCATTCATGCTCGCTCACACACGTGCGCTCTCTCTCTCTCTCTCTCTCTCAAGAATAAACACATTTAAAAAAAGTTTAAAAAAAACAAATAAAATGGAAAAGGGGAAAGACGAACAGATGGAGCCCTAGGAGAAGCCCTAGGGGCAGTGAAACTATTCTGTATGACACATGATGGTGGACACGTGTCATTATACATTTGTCAAAACTACAGGATGTACAAATCAAAGAGTGACCCTTCCTGTAAACTGTGGACTTTAGTCAATCATACGTTACCAATATTTTCTCATCAATGGTAACAAGCGTCCCACACCAATGCACAATGTTCACAATAGGGGAAACTGAGGCAGCAGAGAAGGAGTATATGGGAACTCTCTACACTTTCTGCTCAATTATCCTATAAACTTAAAACCACTCTCAGTAGTAAAATCTATTATACATTTTTTTTACTTTTTTTAAATGTTGATTTTTGACAGAGAGGGGGGTACACAGAGAGAGGGGGACAGAGTGTCCGAAGCGGGCTCCGCGCCGACAGCGGCAAGGCTGACGTGGGGCTCTAACTCATGAACAGTGAGATCATGACCTGAGCCAAAGTCAGACGCACAACCGACTGAGCCCCCCGGGCGCCTGTCTAGTATACATTTATTAAGTGGTAAAGGGGATGGTGTGCTTGCGTCACCAACTTATTGGGGGTTAGCGGAATCGCACTCCCGTTCCTGTCCCCTCCGGAGCACCCCCAGGGCTGCGGGCACTTGCGGAGCCCGTCAGGGGATGCACTGCGGGGGCGGGTGGGCTGGCTGTGGTCAGGGAGGCTGCGTCTGCATCCTAGCGCCTCTGTGTCTCCATTTCTCTCCGGATGCTCCGCTCCCCTCTCCTAGCGGAACTGAAGGGAGGCTTGATGGGAGAGAGGCAAGAGCCGGGGAATGTGGGGGCAACTGGGGAGTCTAGTAAATAAAGCAAAGAGAAACCGTCTGGCGAAATGAATGTAAAAGACCAGTCTTACTCTGCACACAGAAGAACAGGGAATCCAAAGGGCAGTTCTAAACATTCGAGGGAGCGATAAATTTCCCTTGCTGTTCGGCCAGCATGATTCAAAGCCCAGAATGCACTCCTAACTGTGGGGCGTGGCGTTCCTCTGCCTCTCTGAGCCTCACTGTTTCATCTGTGAAATGGCCCTTCGGTACCCGTCTCGCGGAGCTGCTGTAAGAACGACACGAGGTAACCCAGGAGCAATGCCTGGTAGACTGGCACTCTCGTGTCACTTTCCTTCCCTCTCGCTGTGTTCATTAAAGCGCGATGAACAGGCCGCTTTCCAGATCAGGAATGAGAAGGGTTGGGAGTTCTGGAAACGTCCTTTGCCTCCCCCTGACACTGTCTCCACTGGCAGCAGAAATGAATCTGTCTTCCCAGAAGCACACGAATTCTCAGTAAGATTACACTCCAGGAAATCATGGTTCCCCACCCCGCAGGCATGGGTGACATATGGAAACTCACTCTTCTCGGTCTGGTGAGGCTCGGAGCCAAGGAGTCAGCCCCGTCTGTGGAAAGCTCCACCTGACCACCTTCAACAGGAGGAGTCCTGAATTTCACTGCCTCTTCAGAGACGGGAGCTACTGACTTAGCAAATCATTGTCAGTGTTGTGTTTGAGAAGAGGAAAGAAAACCCAGGCAAAGTTTTAAGCGCTCGGGCAGTTGACCCTGTCCCCTCTGAAAGAAAATCTGAAATCTCTTCGTCATCCACGTTTCCCTCATTGGCATCTGGTTGTATTTTGCCTTAACCCGGTGCCCATTTTGTGTTTGGTGTGCAGGCCTAGAATCTTTTAATGCGCTCAAGGCTTCATGCCACATGGTCCACCCAGCCCTCGCTCCCCAGCACCGCTGAGTTTCTGCCCATGCAGGGTACCTACCCACTCACCCACATTCTAGAAGAGTCCTTCATTCTCGCCGTGCTACCTGCTACCCATCCATCCTTACTTAGCAGGTCACGCATTCGGGTCTTAAATGAGATCCTTGGACCTCCCAGGAGCGTCACAAAACTTTGGAAGTTGGGTAAAATTATTCCCATGTTACAGAGGAGAAATCTGAGACTCAGAAATGAAGGGCTTTATGAATGAGACTCAGACAACGAATGGCAGAGCTGGCCCTTGGCCCTTCAGATTCCCAGGCCACCGTGTCCACCGTCCGCCATGGCTGTTTGGCAAGCGTCCCCACCACTGGTGGGGGCTGGGCATGGAGGAAGCGATGTCATGGAGGACGATGAGAGTGTCCACACCTCAGTTCTGCCCTGGGTGCTGGTGCGGAAGGTGGAGGGTGTGACCACGGGGACAAATGGCCCTGGGACTGGATAGGGGACAAGATGATGAAACAGGAAACAGGAAGCATTACTGAGGCCGCCCTCATGCGGAGCCAAATGGCTGCCCTCTGCGCCCACGACATATAATCCGTTTGTATCGTTTTCTAGAGCAAGTCAACCTCGGTGGCGAATCCAGGCCCTGCTTTTTCCCGACTACCGATGTCAAGCAAGGGTCTGAACTTCTGAGGCCTCAACACACACACACACACACACACACACACACACACACACACACTCAGAAGATAAAACACGTAATGGACTTGGAACAGCTTCTGCACGAGGTAAGTTCAATCAGTGGTAGCGACTCTCACGTATGGGTGGCCTCAGAGGTGTGCCAGACGTTCCACTGAGAGCTCACCGGGCTGGAGGAGGGCCGGGGACCACGAAGTGATAGGTGGGGCTTTGGGAAGAAGGGGTTGAATGCACACTGAGAGTCGGCCTCAGCTCGGCGGTCACAGCCATACCAGTGACTCACCGGAACTCAGGAACCCGAAGGCGCCCACGCGGAAGCCAGCAGTGACGACGATGAGGTTGCCGATGGCAGCCAGGAAGGAGCCGTCGATGGCCGGCTGTCCTGCGCTCCCCCTGCCCTCTGCGGTGTTGTGGAAGAATACCAGCACGGACGCGTTGGGGGCCTGCGGGGAGCAGACACATAGGAGGCTACGGTTGGCCCTTTCCGAAAAAGGTGCCCGATTCTGAGCCTACACGTGACTCTTCCTGTCAGCTCTGCCTCGTAAGCACATGGAGTCCCGTGTTACAGGCTGAGCTGTGTCCCCCCAGAGCTCACAAAATGAATCCCTGATGCCCATGACCTCAGAATGTGACAATATTTGGAGAGAGTTCTATAAGGCAGTGATTAAGCTGGTGTGCCCTAAACCAGTATGACTGGTGTCCTCATAAAGAAGGGGACATGTGGATGGAGACATAGGGAGGAGACGACCATCCGCTGTACAAGGAGAACAGCCTCAGAAGCAAGGAACGCTGCAGGCACCTTGGCCTTGGACCCCCGACCTTCAAAATGGTGAGAAAATGGATCTCCGTGTACGCGTCCCGGCCAGTGGAGCTGTGTTCCAGCAGCACCAGCACACTGATCGGCCTCATGTCCCTGATAAGCTGTTTTAAAATGTGCATGCTCTGCTCACATTCCAAAGTGAGCGGGTGGTGGAAATGGCAGCCCACGGCAGACCGGGAGCCCATCGGCTGGAGCCTTGCAGTCTTCCAGCACCCCGGTTCTGGCCCCTAGTTCATTCCGGAAGACCCTCTGGGTCCTCCCCGGTGAGCCCTTTCAATGCAGTCAGCGCGTCCCTGAGCCCCCACCCTGGGGATACAGAGCCACTTCTATTGCGCACTGACTGAGAGCAAGGTGCTGTGCTCAGCATCTACGCATCTTCCTTATCCATTCCTCAACCATCTCCGGGGGCCATGCGTATGATTACTGTTCCCGCTTTACAGATGAGGAAGCAGAGGCTCAGAGACCTTAGATAGCTCGTCTGAGACCACACAGCTAGGAAGCAGCAAGGCAGAATCTAAAGCCAAGCTGACCCTTTGATGTTAGAGTATAATGCTCCATCTGGGGGACCTGACCTGGACTCCAGTCCATGGTGGCGGCTCCAGCCATGTGCCACGGTCTCTGACACACGTGCTCCCCTCACCACCAGCAAACCCTGGCTGAGGACCCACCCTGACAGACGCCGTGCTGAGTGTGGTCACCGTGGACACCTCATTACAACTTCTGCCCCACAAGGCAGATGCTCTAATGGCCATAAGCGCCTCTGCTCTACAGGTGTGAACGCAGACGCTTGGAATGGCGAAGAAACATCTTAAAACACGTACAGAGAGGAAGGGGCTGACCCAGAATTCCAGCCTCAGCCCCCTCCCAGCACACTCTCCCAGGCTCTTCCACCTGTGACACTCTCCCACTCACAGTCACCTCCGATGGCCCCCATCAGCCATCTCCAGCCTCATTAGCCTCCATGCAGTGTTTTATTTAATTCTTGCAAGAACTTATGAGCCAGATGTTCTCTCTCTCCCACTTTCAGAACCGGTAACCAGAGCACATAGAACATGATTACCTTCTCTAGGCCAGGGAGGCAGTGGTCAGGGGAAGACTAGCTGGGAGCCAGACCTTACTCCAGCATCTCAGGTCTGGGGTGACCAGCGCTAGGCAGAGGGGGCCCACTGTCTCCCTCCCCCTAGGCTCCATGTGCTTAGCAGTGCAGCCCACAAGAGCTTTGACGTCTGGGAGGCCTCGTGACAAGCTCACTCAGACCATCTTGTCAAGGTCAAATGTCCAAATGGCAGTGGACTCTCACTGCTGGGAGGCCAGAGGACCAGTAAGCGGTGGCATGGTCACAGGTACCACGACATCTATGACACTGGATTGGCATCACCAAAAACTCATGTTTCCTAAAACTTATCAGTTCCTTTTTCTCCCGAGCGCCCTGACCCTTCTCCCCTCCCCCCAACAGGAAACTCAAACATTCAACGTCAGAGTCAGAGCTGCTACTTAGGCAGATTCAGGCTTCAAATCGGGGCATAACCAGGGTCAGGGTCACAGCCCCAAACCTCACCTTCCGGAACTGCCCCAAACAAGACTCCATGTGGCAATGTCCCTGGGGGGGTGGGGGGTCTTCTGAGGTCTTCCAAGGACAGTGCTGCTCACTTCCTCATTTATGGATGAACTGGAGTCGGGCTCCGCCCCTCCCCCCACCCCCACTCTGGCTGTCTCGCACTCGCAGAGACCCGCGTCACCCGCCGCCTGCCCCACACCTCCCCACCCACCCCTGTTCAAGCGGCACCTGCTGGCCATCACCCGACACACCTCCTGTCTGTGTCCCCTCAACACCGTAGTTGTTCAGGACTTATTTGCTTATCAGTCTCTGCCCTTCCCTCTAAAAGCAACTCCCTCTGCTTCCTGCACCGCTCTGCCCTGCCTGGACCAGTGCGCCCCAACACAGGCCCTTTACGACTATTTCTCGGAAAACTGAACCAGGACAACCGGGCCTCCTCTCCCACAGGGTGGCCTGAGGATGCGGGCAGCACGAGGTGAGGCCAGCAGGGAACCAGGAGGCCCCTCTGCTTCTTCACAGAGCCGGGAGCCGGAGAGGACAGCCCTGGGGGGCAGACCGAGCAGGCCCCGGAGGACAGGGGTGAAGCATCTTACAACTCCGGGAATAGGAGGGGGGGTTTCTAATGGGGCAGTTTTCAGGGCAGACAATCAAGGGCTTCGGACTCACCATGTTCTGAGCGACAAACACATTAAGATACAAGCAGTCTTCACTGACGCCGGGAGACGTGGGCGTGCCGGTGCCTGGCTGCCAGCAGCTGGCCCTGCGGATACAGGCTCGATGACTTCCAGGTCAACCACCAAGGGCACATGCCTCGTCTTCCCTTCCTGCCCACTGTCGGTCAGAACCCACTGCCCCGGCCAAGGGCCTGGCGGCCCGCCAGCTCTGCAGCGATCAGGCAGCTTCGGGCAATGGGCAGAGGGGGTGGCAGTGTGTGAAAGGGACAGCGGGATTCCCGCCCCTCTCTGTCGAGGGCTGCAGAGGAACACCGTCCAGGGACACGGTGCCAGCTCCGAGAAGGATGCCCATGACAGAGAAGGGGGAGGTGGATGTTGCTCGGACCTTGGCTCAAGCATGCAGACCAGGTGTGCCCCAACTTGCCGGGCGTGCTGTCTGACTTGTCTGCATCAGGACGGAGAGCGCCAGTTTCAGCATCTCCAGCCACAAGGGCGGAGACCGGTCTGGGCCACGTCCAACAGCAGCACGAGGGTACCTACCCCACAGGGGGCTTTATGCACCCCCCCCCCCAAGCCACGTTCGCGCTGGACGTGGAGAAGGCGAGCTCTCCGACTACAACCCAGAGCCTCACCAGTCACGTGGACCCACCCGATCATGGTAAAACATTGTGACTGGTGCACATGCATTCTTTTTCTTTCGCCCTGGGGGAGACCTCTCCATGGCTTTCTGCACTTTCCTGCCTCGGCCAGAGTTTAAGCCTTCACGGCCCCTTGCCTGGAGTATTCAAGAGCTCCCAGCCCCTCACTTTTGCTCGCCCTGGCCTGCGGGCGTGGCTGCCACCACTCCTGGGAGACAAGGGACAGCCACAGGCATCTCTCAGAAGGTGAGGAAGGGAGAGCGGAGAACGGTGCTCTTTCCGAGGGCCCTGGGAACGTAGCTGGTTCGGAAAATGACAAAGCCTCCAATGTGGTAACCATTTAAAGTGGTGTGTGGGGGCGCCTGGGTGGCTTAGTCAGTTAAGCGTCCGACTTTCACTTAGGTCATGATCTCGCGGTTCGTGGGTTCAAGCCCCGCGTCGGGCTCTGTGCTGACTGCCAGCTCAGAGCCTGGAGCCTGTTTCAGTCTGTGACTCCCTCTCTCTCTGACCCTCCCCTGCTCACGCTGTCTCTCTCTCTCTCTCTCTCCGAGAAATAAATAAAACATTAAAAAAAAAAAAAGTGGTGTGTGCACGGGAGGTGATAAGGGAAACTAAGGTGATCAATGAGGCAGGAAGTCAGGATTTGAACTCCACACCCCCCCTTCACCTTTTCTAAAATCTCCTTGGAAGATTGTTCCTGTTGGGAGGGACAGCCCTTTAAAAATGCTTTTCCTTAGCTCAGGTGCTGTTCTCTCTCTGCTGTAGCTCTCAGCCCCACCCAGTCAGCCCCTGCCAGGAGGCCGAGTTTCAACTACTTGCATACTAGTGCGAGCGATGGGTGCACCCCACGCCCCCCCAGGCATGGCCCATCAGCGTTGTCCATGGAGACCCTTCCGAAGCCTCTGTTTTCCTGGAGGCCAAGTCCAGGCATGTTCATGCTGCAGAAGGTGGAATTGCCTGGGTCCCCCAGTCACCACCGCCCGGGGCAGAACACACCGGCCCCTCCATCACCAAATTCACTTTACAGGAGCAAGATAATGATATCTGGAGGGTTTATCTGTGAGAGCACTGAAGGCCGCCTTAACTAATACGCTCCCCACCCCCGTCCACTATGCAGACTGGAGTGCACTGCTCTGTAACCAAGCCTCGGCTGCTGTGGATCCGGGAGAGGAATTCCCTACGCGCTCGCCACAATGTACCCTACATCCTCACCGTGGCTTGGTGGCATCCCAGGACCCTGTCCAGTTCAAGGGCTCCGGCGCCCGGAAGCGGCCCTCTGCCACGGGCGGGGAGGCGTATGGGACTCCCAGGAACTCATCCACCTGCTTCCACGAAGTGCCTACCCGGACGGCCCGGGACCTGCCCAGCAGCTGGCCGAGGGGGGTGACGGTCACAGAAGGTGCAGGCGTCCCATAGCTGAGCAGAGTGTTGTCTGTGAGGAGGACAGTCAGGGGGCAGGGAGGGAAGGAGACGACAGTGGGTGCTCTGTTCCAACAAAGCACCGCTTCCGCACTTTCAAAATGTTGGTCGTTAGTTCAGACCCCTAACCCAACAGCCTGAGTCTGGTCAGCTGACTCTCCAAGGTGAAAACCAACTTAACAGCAAGTACAGCTGACGGTTACCAGACACTGAATGTCGCAGCTCACAGTACCAATCCCCTCGCTAAGCGTGTTGCCTCCCTGGTTCTTCCCACCGGAGGCCAGGCAGAGCCTCACGCTGGATACAAGCCCTTCCTCAGCACACTGGGGTCAGACGCGAGCCATGATTCAGAATTACTCAGATTTTTAAAGACAACAGAGGGATACAGAATCGGGCAAGGCTTGGAACACACTGAACACATGGATAATTTCTGGGGTGAAATGCGTGGCTTACTCCTATGAACAGGGATGAACAGAATCTGATTTCTTCAGTTACTCTAGGTCAGATTTGGACCTAGATAATAAGTTCGCTGCAAATGCACTAAAAACATTTTTTTCCTAGGTTTTAGAACTTCGGGATTGCGGAACTGCGGCCAAGGCACTGTGGGCCTCTATTTGCATTTTAATGCTAACAAAACAGGCTGAGGGGCCAGGGGTGGGTAGCTGCCAGGACTTCAAGGTGTGGGATTCTAAGGGTTTCTGGACCCCGACTGTGATCACTGCTTGTTCACATGGGTCAAGGGCCAGCTCTCCAGGCCACCGCCCCTGCCTGCAACGCCCTCTCTCCCTTCCTGCATCCCCCAGTTCCATCTGGCCTGTGGGGTCAAAGCTAGCCACCTGCCAGCCTGCCCTGCTGCCAATGCCTTCCACCCCCTCCTCGTAATGCTAATCCCCCTCACTGCAGTCGCTTATTTCCTCCACCACATTTTCTCGCATCCATTGATTGAGTCAGTCAACTTTTGTGGGACCCTGGCTCAGGGCCAAATACCATTATCTGGGACCTGAAACGGGTCTGTGTCTGCTTCCCCACAGGGCTTGGGGCCTTGCACAAGCGAAAGGCTAAATGCTGGTGAAGAGATCTCTTTCTGTCTCTGCATGCGCACGCGTATGTGCAAGGGGGACAGGGAGAGAGAAATCCCTTATTATGTCCAGCAGGTGTGTTTGGTTTGCTCGCCTCCACGGTGGGCCAGCTGAAGTTTCGCTGCTTGCTTGCAGATCTAGCTCCATGTACTGTTCCCAGGAGCACAGAGAGGAAGCAGACAGACAGGGCAGATGTCCACCGCTTCCTCACGAGCGTGGCATAGTGCAGTGGTTCAACTGGAGGTGACTTGTCCCCAGGGGACATCTGACAATGTCTGGAGACATTTTTGGTTGTCCCAAGGGTCTATGAGAGATGCCAGCTACTGACATCTAGTGAGTAGAGGTCAAGGATGCTGTTTAACAGACCACAATTTGTAGGACCATCCCCACGGCAAAGAATGATCTGGTCCCAGATGTCCACGGTGCGAGGGTTGAGAAGCCCAGGGACAGTGTGCGTTCAGGACTTCCGGGCCACTAAGGAACATGGTGAGGAGGAACCAATGGGTGGTCCGAGGAAACGGGCAGACTGGGGCTTTAATTCTTAATCCCTTAATTGTAATTCCTAGTTCTTCTGACCCTCAACCTCCCCCTGTGACATAGGAATGGTAGCAGTCTCTACAGTACATAGATGTTGGGAACACATAACATGAGGTCTGTGGTGCCCCAAGCCCAGTCCGTGCAAGTGCCAGATACGCCACATGTGTGTGGATGAATGAATTAAAGGAAGAGAGGGAGGAATGGAGGGAAGGAGGGAGTGGGAGAGAGAAAAAAAGAAAGAGAGGGGAAGGGAGGGAGGGAGGAAGGAAGGAAGGAATGAGGGGACGGAGGAAGGGAAGGGAGGAAGGAATGGAAGAAGGGAGGGAGGGAAATAAGAAATAAGGAAGAAGCCTGGAGGAAGGAAAGAAATAGTGAGTGAAACTTTGCTACAAAAACACTGCATTGCTGGTTAGAACTCCACGGAAATTCAAGATGGAAGGAAATGGTTACACATTTTAATCAGGTCTCAGTCACCAGCCCACAGCTCCTTCTGGCAAGATCGCCTGCTTCAGCTGTAAGTCACAGGCTCTCAGGCAAGCACTGAGGACTGAGGCTGCTAAAGCACCAGAACCTTCAGAGTCCATCCCTTTCCTTTACAGGAAAACAGCCACATTCATGAACGTGGCATCCTCTGAGGGAGGCTCTGAGGAGCCACAGGACAGGCCTGGCAACCCCCAGTGCTCCGGGGCAGGGTGGGACCAAATGCAGCTGGTGCCTGGTTTTGTAAATAAAGTTTTATTGGCACACCAGTGCACCCATTGATTTACATATTTTCTGTGGTTGCTTTTCCACTAAAGCAGAGTAGTTGTAACAGACCTATAGAACCCACAACTCTTTATCTGACCCTTTACAGAGAAAGTTTGCCAACCTCTTCTCTAGAACGTTAAGATGGCAGAAAAAGCAACACTTTTTTTTTTTTTTTTACAAATAGTTTATTGTCAAATTAGTTTCTACATAACACTCAGTGCTAACACTTTTTTTTTTTAAAGTGATTAATTTAACCATCCCATAAGCACATTTAATGGGGGAGGTGGCTCCCCCAGGCGCCCAGCTCCCACATTTCCTATTCTACGGGTCTTAACTGTGTCATTTAGTGATGGATTTTTAGGCTGCTCTCCCTTTTCTGGCTTCATCCCTGTATCTCAAGCACCTAGCACAACATGGGACATAACAGCACCTTACTCAATGTTTTTAAATGAAACTGAGCCGCGAGCTGCTGCCCTCTCCATGGTGACGGTGATTCGGTAGTTAGGCAATGTGGTTTGGTGCGAGCAGATTGCATCTAGACAGAGGAAGCCTGGTTCCAAGTTCCCATTCTGTCACCACGAGCTGTGGAAATCAGAGAAGTGGCTTCTCTGGGCCACAGTCTCTTGATCTCTAAGCTGGGATAAAACCCTTATCACGCCACCTCAGGACCGGTATGAGGACCAATGGAGATAAGACATGTGACAGAACTGCCTAAACTACAAAATGATAATAAAAAGTGTCCCATTGGATCATTTTGCTAAGAAACTCAAAGGCTGATAGCTTCCATATCTTGGATACATGAATAAAGGTGGCACAGAGAGGTTCCAGCTTCGAAACAGGGTTTCCAAAAAACAGATAACCCAATGAAGAAATGGGCAGAAGACATGAATAGACACTTTTCCAAATAAGACATCCAGATGGCCAACAAACACATGAAAAGATGCTGAACAGCACTCATCATCAGGGAAATACAGCTCAAAACCACAGTGATGAGATACCACTGTGTACCTGTCAGAATGGCTAGAATTAACAACATAGGAAACAACAGGTGTTGGTGAGGATGAGGAGAAAGGGAAACCTTCTTGCCCTGTCGGTAGGAATGCAGACTAGAGCAGCCACTCTGGAGAACAGTGTGGAGGTTCCTCAAAAAACCTAAAAATAGAGCCACCCTATGACACAGCAATTACACTACTAGGTATTTATCCAAACCAACAAAAATGTTGATCTGAAGGGGCACATGTACAACAGTGTTTATAGCAGCACTAGCGATAATAGCCAGGCTAAGAAAGCCCAAATGTCCATTGACTGATTAATGGATAAAAGAGATGTGGTATATACACACAATGGACTATTACCCAGACATTAAAAAAAAAAATGAAATCTTGCCATTTGCAATGATGTGGATGGAGCTAGAATGTATTATGCTAAGCAAAATAAGTAAATCAGAGAAACACAAGTATCATATAATTTCATTCATATGTGGAATTTAAGAAACAAAACAGATGAACATATGGGAATGGGGAGGGAAGAGAAGAGAGGGAAACAAACCACAACAGACTCTTAACAATAGAGAACAAAGTCAGGGTAGATAGAGGGACATGAGTGGGGGATGGGTTAGATGGGTGACAGGCATTAAGGAAGGCACTTGTTATGATGAGCACTGGGTGTTGTATATAAGTGATGAATCACTGAATCCTACTTCTGAAACCAATATCGCACTGTATGTTAACTAATAAAATGTAATAAAATAAAAACCACAATGATATATATATGTACATATGTATATATGTGGTGTGTGTGTGTGTGTGTGTGTGTGTATGTATGTATATATACATATAGGCTTTTCATCTTCCTTCAGTCCATCCGAAATGAATGCCAGCCACCTTGCCCATGATAACTGACCAATTTTTCCTTAAGAACCTCAAAAGCCACTGCCCACAAGTCACCACATGCTTGGACAGTCCCTCCCAGCTATATCCAGGCTCCCAGAAATAGCCACAAAAGCACAGGATGGGACTTACTCAGCTTTCGGTAAATGTGGGTGGCCTCTTCACGGAGCAGAAGCTGGCAGTTCTGGGCCTGCAGGCTATGTGTGCAGATCTGGGTATCAGCATAGAATACACACCTCACAGCACCGGGTTGGGTCTGCAGAGTGGTGACCAGGCAGGCCTGGTGACGGGAACATTCTATGGAATAAGAGAAGAGTGAGGCTTGGGCCTCAGAGGTAGCGCCTCAGCCATTCATCCATCTGATCATGCATCCAGTCATACATCCGGGAATCCACACACCATCTCTTCATCCATCAGTCCACCCATTCATCCAGCTGTGCATCTATGAATCTGTGCACCTATCAGTCTATCCATCTAATCATGTATGCATGCATCCATCCACCCATCCACCCATCCATCCATGCAACCATCCATTTATACATCCATCCAATTAGGGATCCATCCATCCATCCATCCAATCATTTACTTATTTATTTGAGCATCTACTATACATCCCTGGTACTGTGCCAGGGGCTGGGAATAGAATTGTGGTTGGGGGGAACCTAACTCTCCTATAGATCTATTTTCCACACAAAAATCAGGTTGTTGGTTGTTTATTTAATTCACAAATGTGCTCCTGTCATTCTCTTGTTTGAAGCAACTCCATGGCTCCCCACTGGCTTTAGGATTAAGCCATAGAGACAAAGCTCTCCATGCTCCAGCCCTTGCCTGCTTCTTCAGTCTTATCTCCCTTTCCAGCTCTCCCATCACACCCACAATTTTCCACCAGGGATTATGTCCTTTCCCATGGGTACCAGGTCCTGCTGGTAGATAATTTAAATTATTCATGGCATTAAGGATTTTCAGTCCTAAGAACAGCTGTGAAAACAGTGTTGACTCATTCACTTGGGCAAGCTGTGTCTAAGGGCCTCATTCATAGCCCAGTCTGTGCTATGGCAGCACACAGAATTGTGCAGTGTCCAACCTGTACATCTATACATGACCCTTTCTATAAGATATGCATATTGCTATCCAGCCTTGTAGGTGAGGAGATTCATGGAATCAAAGAATTGGAGGAGTAATGTAATCGCAGGCTCTTGCAGAAGATGAAGTCTTTTTACTTTTAAAGATAAAGTAAAATATTTCTATCAAGTGGTTATCTAGCTTTTGTTTAAATACCAGTGACCAGAAACCCTCTAAAAGAAGTGTGCATCAGTGGACAGCTTTGCCTATTAGAAATGTCTTTAGTTTGTACTGAAAAAGAGCTCTTGAAATTTGAGTTTTACCCATAGGTCTTAGTTTTGACCCATGAGCCTGGCCAGGACAAGTATATTTCCTCCTTGCCACGATGGCCCATCTAGAATCTGAGGACTGCTATCATAGCTTCTGCTCATCTCCTCTGTCTCAGACTGGCCTCCTAGATCCTTCCTCTCATTGTCTTCTGACCTGCCTCAACGTTGTTCTCTTTCTGGCCGGCTTACCCCTTTGGGGACCTTGACTATGATCCACCCCGGCAGGAGGATGAGGAGACCGCAGAGGAGGGCCCACCCAGGGTCTGTCCCCAGGCTCATCCCTTCCTGTCTGGCCGAGCACTCCAGGTCACCCTGGGGTCTCCCATGTGCTTCTGAGGTCAGGATGTTGGCAGCACCGTGTGAGGCCCCGTCCCAGTGGACCACCCTATGAGGTGGAGGGAGCGGTGGGAAACTCCCCTTACCCAACAAACAGAAGTCTCTGGCATCAGAGAAGTCACTGGTGGAGGCCGTGCTGATGTGGGCAACATCAAAGTTCCTGATGGATGGGTCAACGACTACTGCGGAGAGGGCCAGGGTCTGCCATGTGCCCGGAGCAACTAGGAGGGAGAGCAGGGGACGTGAGTCACACACAGCTTCCCATGTTGTGATGATGAAGACAACGGCGCCCCTGGAGAAGCAGCCCCAGGGCATCCTCCCTGCGGCTTCCATTCTCCTGCGACCCCATGCCTTGATCCATCTTTCCATTGTGCAAGTGGTGTGTTACAAGTTTTTACAAACCGAGTTCTATGCTCAACCCTGTGGATGCAAAGGTAAAAGAAACAGAAGACCCAAAAAAAAGCAAACAAAAACAAAAAACCCACAAAAATATGGCTGTTTCTAATAAACAGCTCAGTAGAGTGGGAGAGGAGTAAGACGGAAAAGGCCAGCATCATAACGCGCATGCTACAACGCAACAGTCAGAATGAAGCCGGGTAACAACGATAATAGCAGATATACATATCAGTGACATCACATGGTGCGGCGTGTAGGGCCTCCCAGACCCCACGTCATTTAATCCTCTCCAAGCCCTCGGATGGAGAAAAGACCATTGCTTTCCATAATGGGCGCTGTGGTGTGCTGCCCAGGCCACCTTTCAGGACCCAGCCTCTCCCTTCCCCAGCGCTGGGAAGCTGGTGTCTGGAGGCTCCTAGCTGCGTCCCCTCCAGAAACTGCCTGTGATATAGGCAAGCTGCCGCCCCTCCCAGGGTCCCAGCCTGTGTCCCAGAAATAGTCCTTGTGGTGTGCAAAGGTCCAACCCCCTGCCTCAAGATGGGATGACTCTGCAGGACCAGCCCGGCTTCAGAGCTCGCCCAGGGATCTGCGGGGCCGTGGTTTGGTTGGCACAAAGGCTCTGCCTCTCCCCCCCTCAGCGCCCATTCTCGCCCCCTCGCTTCCTTACAAGGGCTGCTCCCGCGAGCCCCGCGCACAAAACATCCTGCATGCAAATCTCCATCACTGAGTTTGTTTCCTGGAAATCAGCGGCTAAAACATCCTCTTTAAAGATGAAGGAAATGAGAGGCCGAGACGTTAACTGGGCTTGCCCCAGAGAGTTCCATTCTTCAGGGGTGGGGCGACAGTGAAACCCAGGCTTTGCATGCACAGAGCCCATGCCCTCCGATGCTCCCCGGGGCTGCCCCCCGCCATCTGCACATCTGTCACACCAACAGGGAGGGGCTCAGGCGCAGCTGTCAGACGGATGGCTTGGCGCAGGTCAAGAGACCTTCCAGAGCACCAGTGTCCCTGTGAGGACAGAGGTGACCCTGAACGGGGACCGTAGGTTTCCACTGTGAGGAAGGACTGTGAGTCTAGGGGGATGAGTGTTTTCCTCTGTCCACAAAGAGCATAAAGGAGGCAAAACATTGCCTCCCAGCAGAGCCCTCCACGGTCTCTGAGAGTGCAGATTCTAGAATTCTCAAGATCTGCTCAGTGGGTGCATCACTGATAGTTAATGGAGAAGAATCGACGTGTTCATTTGCTTTTCCTTTCTGTCTCTGACTCCATTTGCTGAAGACCACAGTGGTTTCATCCCTATAGGAAATAGTTGTGAGCATTTATCTCGCTTGTGCTAGAGGAACAGCATGGCCCCCCCAAGGTACAGCACTTTACAGTTTACAAAGTGCTATCACTAATCAGCTGAGCGCTCTAAGGGAGTTAATCCAGTGTCTCAGTTTTCCCATCTGCAAAATGTCATTATAGCTGATTCCCACAGAGCTCCGCGTGAGTGGTGGGGGAGGGACTCCAAAGCATCTTTCATGAACGAGGAGTCAGAAACAGAGGTTACATGACTTTCCAAGAACACAGAGCTGAACTTGACCAAGCCGGAGACAGAACCAGCCCTCTTGACTCTCGGCCAACGCTCTTTCCATCCCCTCCAAGCTTCCTAAATAGCTGAGCGCTTTTTCTGGAACACAGTCTCCAGGTATGAAAAGGTGTTTGCCTTGGACAATCCCGCGCTCTTAGCTATATAGGGAAGCCTGTCATTTTTATCTCAAATCTGCCTTTGACGCCCAGAGCACTAAAATTAGAACGGTAAAAAAGCCCAGACCACACCTTTGTCTTCTTAATAAAAAGAAAAAGAAAGAAAAAAGAGAGAAAAAGAGTTTATCCCAAGAAGCCATCAAATAACGGTATGAGATTTCTGGTGGACGCAGCCGGAGAAGGTGAACCCCCTCCTGGATCTGTGGGGGCCGTCCTCAGAATCCAGAGCCACGTCATGCTGACCTTGGGACCCGGCTTCCTGGCCACAGACGCTGGGCTCTCATTTTCTTAAATGTCCTCCACGCGTTACTATTTTCATGGTCAGTACAAGTGGCGTTTTTGCAGCATGACCAAAGCGAGCTGCATATTTTTAGGTGGTAAGGACACTGCAATTTCACAGAAGACTCATGATGGGGTTTCAGGACCAAACTTGCCAATTATGGGCTTAAAATGGAAGTCTTGGCCGCACTCCGTGTTTAGCTTGATGTCTGGGGGAAAGCGCCTATAATTGAAGGGTAAATTTCATCTCCAAAGTGAGAGTCCGCTCATCTGTCGCCACCCCAGGGCCTGGAGCCAAGTCTCCGCCACACCCTCGTCCTGTCCCCTTCCCCCAGCTGGCGGGGACCCCGGACGGACAAGCTGTTGCTGTTATGCAGAATCCAACATCTGGGGCTTATGCGTCTCATGCAAATTCTGAGAACAAGTTATTTGTGTCTGTAAACATATGATGAAGCCTGAAAGCTGGGGGAATGTTGGTAGCATTTTGTGGGCGTTTACTACTTGCCAAGAATCAGCAATACCATTGCACCTAATACTGACGGATCCAGTAACATGCCCAAAGGACTTAGCTGCTAAGGGGCAGCCCTTGGGCCTGAGCCCAGCTCCTTCGGGTTCAAAAACCATGCTTTACTGCAATGCCAACCCTCCTCTCTGTGTGAATGCGGGGGTACAGCTTTCGGGCCACCCAAAGGGTGTTATCTGTGGCATATTGATGAGTTTCCCTTTTTCCCCCTTTTGTTTCAAATATATTTTATACCCTGCAATGCTAGCATCCTTAAAAAAAAGTCTCCCCTTGAATTTGAAATGCCATGTTATCATATGTTAACTACGTACATATAAACCAATTTTGTCTGCTGGGTAACTTCTTCTTTCATTCATCTGTTTGTAAATTCTAGCTCTGCCCTCATGTTGCTTGAACATTTTATCATCATGTGGTAAAAGTCTTTCCGTATTACTTTTTCTTTAGAAGATATTTCTTGGGATGGCTCAGTCGGTTGGGCATCCGACTTCGGCTCAGGTCATGATTTCATGGTTCATGGGTTCAAGCCCCACTTGGGGCTCTGTGCTGACAGCTCGGAGCCTGGAGCCTGCTTCAGATTCTGTGGGTCTTTCTTTCTCTCTGCCCCTCCTCTACTCATGCTCTGTCTCTGTCTCTCTGTCTCTCTCTCTCTCTCTTAAAAATAAATAAACATTAAAAATAATAAGAAGAAAATAATTAAAAAATTATTTCTTGGCTACTTTTTTGGCTATTTATTTTACCAGATGAAATTCAAAGCCATTGTATTAAGTTTCAAGAAAGTTCTTTCTTTCAAGAAAGCTCTTTTGGGATATTAATTGGAATGTCCTTCAAATTAAAAACTAACTTGAGAAGAAGGTTTTAGATTGTATTATGTTTAATGTTTGATGTCACTAAGAACGGCACGGAATGTTTGTCCCATTATATTTTTAAAACAGTTACTGTTGGTCTGAAGGAAAGCTCTTTATTTGTATGTGTTTATTTTCTAACAGGACCTTGAACTCACTTAATGTAACTTGAAGACATGGTTGAAAGGCAGGCTCTTGTCCACATGGCTACTTTGGAAACGGGGCCCAAAGCGGATTGCAGCAGTCATAGCAGTGACCTGCTTCTGGCGGGGGGGGGGGGGGGGGGGGGGGGGGGGGGGGGATTGGTTAGGCAGTCCCTCTGCAGTAGCCAGTTTAGTTCTATATTTGTTCATTTATTCAACAACCACTCAGATGCCTCCTTCTACATTCCCGGTATGAGCCCTGATGGAACAAGGTGGAAGCCTGGAAAATTAGGCTAACTAGCTAAAAAGTTGAGGATCCTTTCTACTTTCCATCAGTAATTCTCACACTTTGGTGAATATAAAGCACTCAGCACATATTGCACAGCCCAGGTGCTGCCCGCACGTCGGCTAGCCTTCTCCTCTGTGCTCCTTAGTAGCTTTCCGGTGGCTCTGACACACAACCAGTTGTGAACATTGTCTTCCTCGGTCTCTGAAATATTCCTTGTTTTTGTTCTTTTGGTTTGGCCATAAATGATGGCGAAACAGCTTAGGTTAGTGAAAAGAGACAGCTGTGGTTTTTTTTTCAACTATTAAAAATAGCCTGGGGCACTTGGGTGCCTCAGCCGGTTAAGCGTCTGACTTCGCTCAGGTCATGGTCTCATGGTTTGTGGGTTCGAGCCCCGCATCAGGCTCTGTGCTGACAGCTCAGAGCCTGCTTCAGATTCTGCGTCTCACTCTCTCTCTGCCCTTTCCCCACTTGTGCTCTGTTTATCTCTCTAAAATAAATAACATTAAAAAAAGTTTTTAAAAATAGCTTTATTCTAGCCTGACCCCACCAACACACACACACACACACACACACACACACACACACACGGTACAGGTCAGTTGCTGGGTGGCCGGGAAACAAAGCATAAGTTCCTGCTCTGTCCCTCCTTTCTCTCCCTTGAAAACTGGGGGTGAGCTTTCCTGTGTTTCTGAACCCCAACAGACCAGTAGCAAATACTCACCTCTCCCAACATTCAAATAATCACAGACCCATTTTGTAAATCAAAAGCTCTAAGAAAAATAGTGAGTGTAAGCTCTAGAGGGTCCCAAAGCACACAGGAATTGTCCTATTTCCCTGGCACTCAGAACCAAAAAGAATTCCTCTCGGCTCTTTGGCACTTATCAAAGGGATGGGTGCTGAACACAGAGAAAGCTTGAGGGAGGCTGGATGGGGTTTCCATTCCCCGGGGCCTGGCTGGCTGGGGTGACACATCCACGTTGGAAGCGTCTTGAGCAGGAAGTCTTTCGGGCACCAGCCAGCCACCGCGACCTTGACCACGCGCAGACTATGGCAGGCTGTCGGATTCTGCTCTTCCAGCTACACGGCCACAAGCGATTCCCCCACGCGCGGTCAGTACGGGGCAGGATGAGCAGTCAGACACCCTGATTTCTCACCAGATGCTGTCTTCCTAATGAGAAGCATGCCACACTGGGCTGGGTTTGCCCTCGTGAGCACTCAGAAAAAACGAGATGTTCTTTTGATAACAGAGAGACGGTGAGGGAGAGAGATAGAACAAGAGATCCGTGTTATCTTGTGATCTCTTGAAAGATGAAAATAGAACCAGAGGAGCCTATAGGCCTAGCATTTCTTCAGGGAGAAACAAACAGACTCTACCAGGCCTCTTCTGCAATGGACAACACCAGAAAATTCTCTAGAGACAGGTTTACTTCTGTGCAGGCTCCAAATACGCATTTGTTAGTTGTCCAGCAAGCCACTTCCTGTCCCTTCACATCTCCGGAGCTCAGCACAGGGATGGGAGTGAGTCCTGTGGGTTGGAAGGTAGCCCCTCACAATTCATACGTTGAAGTCCTAACCCCCAGTCATTCATAATGTGACCCTATTTGGAGACAGGGTCTTGGCAGAGGTAATCCAGTTAAAATGAGGCCATGAGAATGGTCCCTAATCCAAAATGGCTGGTGTCCTCGTAAAAAGGGGACATTTGGACACAGCGTGGCACACACACAGAGGACAACGTGAAGACACAGGGAGAAGATGGCCATAGAAGCCAAGGAGACGGTTTTGGAACAGAGCCAGCCCTCGAGGCCCTCCAAGGGAACCAGCCCTGCCCACACCTTGACCTTGGACGCCAGAGCTGTGAGGGGACAAATTCCCCTTGTTTCAGACCCAGTCTGCAGTGTTAACAGATTAATCTGGCAGGTGAACACTCAGTAAAAACACCCTTTTCTTGATTTGGGGAGTGTCTCCTGTATCTCACTGGTGTGCCTGGGCACGGAAATGCCAGTCCTGACGGTAAGTCTTCCCTTGTAAAGTAATACAATTATAGTGGCCAATATTAATATTAAGAATTTCCTATTGGGGCACCCTGGTAGTTCAGTTGGTTAAGTGCCAGCCTTCAGCTCGGGTCATGATCTCACGGTCCGCGGGTTCGAGCCCCACGTCAGGCTCTGTGCTGACAGCTTAGAGCCTGGAACCTACTTCGGTTTCTGTGTCTCCCTCTTTCTCTCTCTCTGCCCCTCCCCTGCTCATGCTCTGTCTCTCTCTCTCTCTCTCTCTCTCACAAATAAACATTTTTAAAAATTAAAAAAACTTATTTCCTATTTACTGTTACATGTCATTTTATTTAATCCACACACAGCCATGAACATGGCTTTCTGGTCACCCCTGCTCAGAGAGGTGGCATTGCATGCCTTTTTAAGTTTATTTATTTATTTTGAGAGAGAAAGAGCATGCAAGCAGGGGAGGGGCAGAGAGAGAGAGGGAGAGAGAGAATCCCAAGCAGGTTCTGAGCTGTCAGCGCAGAGCCCAACTCAATCCCAAAAACCGTGAGATCATGACCTGAGCTAAAATCAAGAGTCAGATGCTTAACCGACTGTGCCGCCCAGCACCCCTGGCATTACAGGCTTTAAAGAGGGATCATTCCGGAAGCATTCCGCCTACCGCCAGCTCTGACTTTGCATAAATTACACTCTAAGCCTCAAACGTTGTTTTAATCTATAAACTGGAATTGTCATGTCACCTGTGTCCTAGGCAGAACTTCCCATATGTTAAGGGCCACAGTCTGCCACTGATCCTTCTAGCCGTCCTGGGGGCAGGGGTGGGGGCAGCTAGGGCAGGTCCTCTCACTTGGCTATCTGAATGCAGATGTCATCGTCTCTGATGTGTGTCACGGCATGAAAAAGTCAGTATGCTCTGGACACAGGGTGAGGGCTGAGTGGACTAATCCCTGCAAAACGCTTGGTGCATAATACGTGCTCAACTACATTTATTAAAGATTGGATGCCCTGTGTCTCAGCCTCCAAAGCCAGACCTCTCCCTCTAGGCCATGTTGCTCAAAGCACAAGGGCATAAAGGCTGTCACTTCCAAAACAGGACACTTTAGGGGCACCTGTGGTGGCTCAGTCGGTTGAGTGCCTGCCTTTAGATTTCAGCTCAGGTCGTGATCCCAGGGTCGTGGGATTGAGCCCTATGTCGGGCTCCACGCTGAGTATGAGGCTTGCGTAAGATCCGTCTCTCTCTCCCTCTGCCCTTCTTCCTCTCTCACACTCCCTCTCTCTCAAATAATAATTTAAAATAAATAAAATAAAATAAAATAAAATAAAATAAGGCATTTTCAACCAAACCAAAACAGGAACATCGATAGCACTGGTATGCCTGGAGTCACCCCCTCATCTCCCCGGTCAGGACCGGCACACAGTGAGGCAGGGCTCCAGCCATGAAGCCCAGGAAGACCAGAAAAGACCCACTGAAGTAGTTCAGGGACTCAGGATAAAGAGAAAGGCAACGCATCTTCAGGCCAGGCCAGGGGCCAGCAAGATTTCTCAGTTAGAGGCCAGATAGTAAGTATTTAGGCTTTGCCGGCCACATTTGTTCTCTCTTGCATATTCTTCTCTCTGTATTTTTATATGATCCTTTAAACCTGCCCGAGGTCTTTCTCAGCTCATGGGTCCTACAGCAGCGGGCCGCGGGCTATGGCTGGCCCACTGGGGCCAGAAGGACCACGGGCTACAATGTTTGCGGGACGATGGACTGGGGAGGGGAATCTACATTCTGGGACCCAGAACTGCAACAGGCAACTTGACAAGGAGTCCTGTGCTTCTTCCAGAAACGAGGAGGTGGTCTGGGAGATGTCCTCTGGAACATAAAATATGGTGCTTTTTTTGCTCTGCTGATGCTTGCGCTTCCTAACTCGGCTTCCTAACTCTCCTTTTACAAAAAGCTGATGATTCGTTTGCTCTGTTTTCTCAAAATTGTTCTTATTTGGTAGGAGGAAAAATTGGCAACCGTGAGCCGTCGAGAGTACCAGGTAAGCCTCCAATCCAAGAGGAGACTCTAAGCCTGCCTGTCTTCTCCACACCCACGTGGCTTCATCTCACTCCGGATCCAGCCTCCTGTTGAAATCATGTCCCGCTGTCACAGCTGACCTCTGACCCTGCCTCTCCCGCCCCCCCCCCCCCAGTACTGTGCCCTGGAAAGAAGGGCCCTTACCATTGTCCTAATGCCCCCTTTCCCATTGCTTTGGGTCACAACCTCCTGACTATGGAAACTACTAGTCTTTCTCACTAATTACCCTCAGTGGGGAATGCCTGGTCATTCTACCACATTCTTCGAATTCTTTGCCGTAATTTTCAGCTCACAATCGTCACTCCCACTCCAGACCCTTCGAAAGCCTTGGGTGACCTTATCATCTACGGGGACCGTCGATGGTCCACTCACCACTCTGGTCTGTTTCCTGACCCCTTCAGTCTCAGAGACACCCATGTCCACGCCTCCCAGCCCAGAACCCCCACGGACACATCCACACCCTGCCATGTGGCACTCAAACCAGCTCCGGATTCTCCCTGTGACTCCACTCTCCTCCCCCCTCTGCGGTATCCACCTTCACTGGTCTGTCATAAGCCAGGGCCACCCACTGGTCCGTCGTTTCAATTCCCCTTTTGCCAGTGCCCTCAACCATGTCTTCCTGGGTGGATTAATCAAAGGGGCTGCTTTCTCTGAAGCTCGCCTTGGTCAGCTGAGCACAACTAAGGACACTTCCGCAGACAGATCGGCTCCGTCACAACTTCGGGGTCCCCAGCTGCACCTGAGCTGTCAACGCCCCGGTGCCCTAGTCTCACCCCCTTCGTTCTCTACAACCATTGCCTCCGGTGCCTCTTGCTGCGTCCAGCGTCATCGCGGCCCCTGCACCTTCAGCAGGTGCCCGAGCGCTTGCCCCCCAGGGAAAAGAGGGCCCATCCTCAGCACCGGCCTCAACTCTGTGTCCGCCTCTCCACTCTCTAGGAACCAGCCCGTCTTCTCTTTCTTTCTCCTAAAGGAAGGCTGTAGGAACCAGCTCCCCGTTCTGTGTTCTAGAGCCCGTTCTCTCTCACCGCCCCCGGGGGCATCCGCAACCAATTACACGCCCAGGCCGGCCCTGCTCCAGCCCTCCTCTGTCTTCAGTCCATCCCTGGACACTGACACTTTACTCAAATGCCACCCCACCCCCCCCCATCCTTGGAAACAAGACCTTACTCTAACCCAGGGTTTCTCACCTTGGGGGTTAGATTTCAGGGACTGATGTCCCTGAAAATAGAGGCAAAGGCTGGTGTGTCTGGTGAGGCGTCCTGTTTGAATAGGTTATCAGGGGTGGTTCACAACCTAAAGACAGTTACCAACCAATGGGCCACCTTCTTTTTCAGCTGTCAATCGCGTTCTCTCTTTTTCTTCAGAGCTGACATTCTTGGGGGAAGTTTGTAGTTTCTGCTTCCTCAAATCACTACTATTTAGCCTCTTCCCTCCTCATCCCACTACGTTTGTAAAGTGCTTGACCAACCCGATGAACGTCTGTAGTCCCCACCGTCCTTGAAATTGTTCGTACATCTCCCTTCCCTGGCTTCCCTTTTCTTCCCTTTGGTGCTGCTGTTCTTCAGGGGCCTGTCCTTGACCTGCACTGCTGGTCCAACATACTCTCCACGGGCGATCTCACTATCTTCGTGACTTAAAGTACTGACACACTGATGATCGTCAGCACATCTCCAGGTCAGAAGCTTTACCCAAGCGCAAGGCGGAGATAGTCTATGCTTACTGGACCCCTCCAAGCAGATGGCCACGAGGCACCCCAACCTCAGCATGTTGAAAGCTGAGGGCTTACTCTTTTTTTTTTTTTTTTTTTTAATTTCTAGGAGAGAGAGAGAGACAGCATGAGCAGGGGAGGGTCAGAGAGAGAGGGAGACACAGACTCTGAAATAGGTTCCAGGCTCTGAGCTGGCAGTCAGCACAGAGCCCGACGTGGGACTCGAACCCACGAACCGCGAGATCATGACCTAAGCGAAAGTCGGACGCTTAACCGACTAAGCCACCCAGGCGCCCCACTGAGGGCTTACTCTTACTTCCATCCTCACCCACAGTCTTTGGCTCCCCTCTTACACTGTCTGTCCCGGGAACTGGCCCCACTACCCACGGAACTGCCCAACCTGAAATGTTAAATGTTATCCCCAACTGATGTTCAGGTAGACTGCATGCCCACCTAGAAAGGACATTATAGAAGGAAAATTCAGATAAATACTCTTTCAAGTCTAAGTTTCAGGTTCTACCATTAAAAGTGGAGACTCTCTCTGGGGTAGCACATCCCATCTGAGTTTCCAGCGAAAAGATGGCCTCCAACGTTTCTTGAGATCTGTCTGCTGCCTCCCTTCCCTACCTCCTCAGTCACATCTCTCTTCCTTCTACTCCCTCCCACCCCAAGCTCACGTCTGCTGGTCCAACAACTCACCCTGTTTCGTATCACTTTGTTCCTCTCATCTGATTTACACTTAGGAGATGAAGTCCGTTTATTCACGTAACAAACTCATATCATCCTTCAAGACGTAATTCAGATGTCACTTCCTAGGAACACCCTTCTGAGGCTCCTACCCCCACTACCCGTAACCTACTGTTCCACGAACATACTGCGTTGTGATTTCTTCATGTTTTCTCTCTGTTAAATCATAAGCTCCTGAGACCAAAGGCTCTGCCTCAGTTTTCATTGCTTCTCTAAGACCTATCAAAATAGTATAGAAAAATGGTAACCCTAGAAATAGTAATATAGTTGTAGATGGCATGTTTTAATGTTCCGTGTGCTAAACAGGAATAATAACATTACTATTGTGCATGAGCTACCCAATTCCTAAGTGTGTACTTAATGAATGAATTAATGAAGTTCCTTAACTAATACAGAACAGGTGGGGTACCAAGTCTTTTCCATCTCTATCAAGATTAATACTCTAATCATTCACCTACCACAGGACCTCAATAAATAATTATTGAACAAGTGGATTAGTGGCTGAATTGATCACCTAGGAAACAAATCATGGTCCACCGATTTAATAGTATCTCACTCAAGGCACCTGGGTGGCTCAGTCATTGAAGCATCTGACTTCGGCTCAGGTCATGATCTCACAGTTCGTGGGTTCGAGCCCTGTGTCGGGCTCTGTGCTGACAGCTAGCTCAGAGCCTGGAGCCTGCTTCGGAGTCTGTGTCTCCCTCTCTCTTTGCCCCTCCCCTGCTCACGCTGTCTCTACTTCTCTCTCAAAAATAATTAAAACATTAAAAAACATAAAAAAAAGTCTCACTCCTAGGTGGTACCTTCCAGTTTATGAAACATTTCACTGACACCGCAAGGTGTCTTCATTACACCAACCTGGGCACCAATTGGATTACTGTTACTATTTTTCAAGGGACTGAACGGACACTCCGAGCTGGTGTAGGACATGGCCATAGTCACAGCTCGTAGTTAGCAAACCAAAGGCTTAACAAAGGCTGCCCCTCCCTGTATCCACTTCACCCTTTCTCCCTGAGACTCGACTACAGAGATCAAGTGCTTCCCTTTCTCGGCATGCATTTCGCAGGCCGAGGTTTCCAGAGACGTCTGAAATGGCCCAGCATCTCCTGAGATTACAAGTTGTGGATTGGTGAGTAATCATCTTTTACACCACTAACTTCAAAGACGCTTCTGGAGGAAATTTCTAGTTAAGAAAAAGACACGCATGTGGAACCAGACTTGGGACGATTCTCCCTCCAGGTCCTCCTGACAAATCACTAAGTTCGTCACAAGCAAAATTCCTACTGGAACTGCAAAGGCTTGGGGTAAGTCTGATTTCTCTCTGAGAAGTCTAGCTCGTGTTGAATGGACCCCTCCGAATCCCCCCCACATACAAAGGCGACCTGGGAGATAGTATGATAATGGGGTTGTCTGAGAGCATGTGAACACTTTCTGGGGGGCATTGCATGTGATCCTGGGTGCTGGGTAAAACTGCAGAAACTCAGCAGCACAAATGCATACGGAGAACTTACATGAGCTAATGAGAGGAATTTCAATAATGCAGAGATCTCATGAACAAGAGCATCAGGCAGAGGCTAGACCTCTCCATGGACTGTGGGAACTCACCCAAGGTCATGCAGCTGGTCTGGACCCAGGCATGCAGACTTCTGAGCCCACACTCTGCCTCCCCAAGCACGGTGGCAGTAAAGGCAGCTATAGCTGTCACCGCCATCAGTCAGGGACTACGTGTGACAGGCTCTACTGAGCACTTCCCTGCATGGCTGCATCCAAATCTCACGGCCCCCTGTGGATGCAGGGACACTAAGAAGTCTGCCTTGCAGACACTGAGGCTCAGAGCAGTGATGTCACACAGAGTAAGAGCAGAACTAGAATTGAAACCCAGATTCACCGCATGCCAAAGTCTCCCTGCTTCACTGCTTCTACTTGTACAAACAACTGCCCAAAACTGCCTGCCTGTGCATAAGTTTTCACAAAAACAGAAAAACAAAAGCCACACCTTAAAGCATAACTGGGCCAATCATTAGAATTACAAATATAGAAAACTCAAAGGGAAACTTAGAGGCCACTTAAGCTACCTCCTCACACAGAAAGGGCATCTCCAACAAGCTTGAATACTCCAGTGGCGGGGAGCTCATCACCTCAGTCTCCATCACAGCAAGATCACCAATGTCTTCTCCTTCCATCATCTGACCCCATGCCCTTCTCGCCCATCCATCACTGGTCCCCTCCGGGATATCAGATGCCCCATCCACACTGAAGGCTTCCCTCAGTCCCTCCTGAGTTGGACCCTCTCATCTCCTGGACTTTGCATATGTGGGAGGCAAGGTGACTGCCTCCTTTATAAATCAAATCCAACTCCTCCAATGGGGTCAGAGAATTCAGCGGAGACTCAACAGTGGGGAAGAAAAAATGAGGAATGAGCAAAGAATCATTAAAACAAAACAAAACTTAATATAGTGCTAGCCACTTATAACATGGTATTATCTTTCATCAACAGTTAATATTATTATAATCCATGAAACTAAAGGAAATCTACCACGATGGATGGACTGTATTCAGTGCTGGCTGGGTTCACAGTCCACTGCAGAGAATGCCTTGACGGGCTCCAGGAAGGGCCACCTGTCTTAAGTATTTCTTTTAAATATTTGTCAAATTATCTGAGAAATAACAATTTTCTGGTTTACTGACTTGTGAAAATGTGAAAACTCTTGTAGGAAATATACTAAAATAATATCAATCATTTTCGGTGTGAATTATTTTGTTAGCTCCGTTAAGTTTGATTTTTAAATGTTGCATTTATTTATTTTGAGCGGGGGGAAGGGCAGAGAGAGAGAGAGAGAGAATCTCAAGCAAGGCTCTGCACTGTGAGCCCAGAGCCTGGTGCGGGACTCAATTCCCTGAACCGTGAAATCATGACCTGAGCCGAGATCAAGAGTCTGTCGCTCAACCGACTGAGCCACCCGGGCGCCCCGACTCCACTGGGTTTGCCAAGAGCTCTCAGGCAGAGCACTGGGAAATAAAACAACAGAGAAGCAAGGTGCCTCTACTCTGTGACAGCTGGCTGATCAGGGCTGATTTGGGAGTGGGAGGGATAGAGGAACCGCTTCCGTCATCAGAGAGGCCTGTCTTGGGACGGGAGTTCAGCGGGGAGGCCTGAGGCTGAGCAGCAGGAAGTCACGAGTTTCTCAGAGTGGGCTGGAGGTCAGGAATAGGAAGGGGGAAAAAAGTCGGGTGGAACCCAAAATTCCCGCCACCTCACAGTTTTGACCATGCTCATTTTTTATCGTGCAGTAGCTGATTGATTCCAGGCTGCAAATATACCTTTCATAGCTAAGCAAGACACTTGACAAAAAGTCTTTAAAGCTAAAGCCGAAACAACCCAAACCAAGAGGTTTTCTTCTTGGTTCTAGTTCCCTTCAATTTGATTGAAGAATTCCCCGATGGACCAGGTATACAACTGGTACTAACTCTCTGGGGAGGAAGTTTCTGAGGAGAATCCTAAGTCTTCGCCAGCCCCTAAGATCAGACGAGGGTTCAAGACACAATCAATCAGCAAACATTAATCAAGTGCCTCCTGGGCTCGCTATGCACAGCTGCACAGGCTGTACACTGTACTATATCACAGGGGCAGCTTTCATAAACCTTACCTGTGAAAGGGATCCCATAGAACTGGCAGTACTTGACCCAATTTAGCTATTCCAACACTGCCACCTTCACCAGGCACTGGATGAGCCAATTTTACATATAATCTCTCTTCCGAGCTTCATAACAACCTCATTGAATTAGGCATCATCATCTCCACTTTAAAGGTGAGGCGGCTGCGACTCAGAAAGTTTCTCTAAATTGGACAAGATCATCCCTTCCTTCTTTTTTACATCCTTCCAACAAACACTGAATCCCTATTAGCTTTAAACACAAACCCAGAGCAAACTGAATATATTCATATTAAACCTAACAAGTTACAAATAAAATGCTATTGAGTGTCTACTATACACCCAACACTGTGGTAAGTGTGAAGGATCAAGCCCTAAGTTACGCATTCAGTTTCTGGGAGCACAAAATCCAGCAAGCAAGAAGCCGTGCGCTCATTCATTCAGCAAACACTCTGTGAGCGCTAACTACATACCAGGCAAGCTTCCAGGGGCTGAGAATATAGCAGCAAATAAGCCACACAGAGTCCCTGCCCTGTTAGGTTTCCCTTCTGGGGGAAAGAGCAGGCGAAGATTCAAGTCAACAGGTGAGAACATTTCACAGCAGACAATAAAGCAGGGTGAGGGGGTGGAGAGGGCCCTAGGGGGCTGCTTTTTTTTTTTCTTAAGTAGTTTATTGTCAAATTGGTTTCCATATAACACCCAGTACTCATAGTGCCCTCCTCCATGCCCATCACCCCCCTTCCTAAAATGAGCAAATCAGAGAACTCTAGATGCTGGCGAGGATGTGGAGAAACGGGCACCCTCCTACACTGTTGGTGGGAATGTAAACTGGTACAGCCCCTCTGGAAAACAGTGTGGAGGTTCCTCAAAAAATTAACAATAGAACTCCCCTATGACCCAGCAATAGCACTGCTAGGAATTTACCCAAGGGATACAGTATTGCTGATGCATAGGTGCACATGTACCCCTATGTTCATAGCAGCACTCTCTACAATAGCTAAAACATGGAAAGAGCCTAAGTGTCCATCAACAGACGAATGGATCAAGAAGATGTGGTTTATCTATACCATGGAATACTGCATGGCAATGAGAAAGAATGAAATCTGGCCATGTGTAGCAATGTGGATGGACCTTGAGGGTGTTATGCTTAGCAAAATAAGTCAGGCAGAGAAAGACAAATATCATATGTTTGCACATATAGGAGGATTAGGAGGAACTTGAAGGAGGAACAAGGGGGAGAAGAAGGGGGAAATGGTGGGGGAGATCGAGGGAGGCAAATCAAGGGGGCTGCTTTGATGCGGTGTTTGAGGTGACGTCAGCTCAGAGAACAGTACAGACGGCCCCTGGGAGATGTGCGAGGGTGAAGCCCGTGGTGCAGGGCTCTCTGCTGGCGCTGCTCGCTGCTGTAGCCCCTGCACCGCACGCCCGGCCCAGAGTAAGTGCTCACTAACACCTGCAGAATGGATGGGTCAGTGCAGGGGCGGGGGATGGTGGCCCAGGCACGAGAGACCATGACTGTGGCCCCATCAGCTGGCTGGCTGGATGCTCCCACCGGCATTCGTGGGGGGATGTGAGGCTGACCGACCGGGGGCTGTTCCCTCACGTCTCCCACTTCCTTCCATCTGCCGCTGCCGTGACACAGTTTGCCAGCTGTGTCCTTCCACTCCTCAGCGCCCCCGGATCTCGGAAGGGAGGTCCGGGAGGGGCAGCGTGGCCCTGTGCTACAGGAGCATCCGGGCTGCACGCCCTGCTTGGGGAGGGGAGCTCATCCGTGGGGTGTGCGACCCCTCCCTGGATAGCAGTTCTTGGGGGGCAGCTACAGACGCTGCACCCGGAGCGCCCGCAACGGGGCGCACGGGCACGAAGCCCTGCGCGGACTTGGAGTCGAGATGCTCGTTTCACACGAGCTTCTGGAGTCGGAGCCTGCTCCCCTGGGCCCTTCAGCCGGAGGACCCGAAGAATTAAGAGTTAGCCGTTGTGTGGGTTACTGTGTCACCAGCCTAGTGGCTCAAGGGGAAGGTGACAGTGCCTAGCACAGTTAGGTGCAAGTGCACCCCTACTACTGAGGCCATTACAACCTGCCACCCCTGGGGGCGGCCCTTCAGAAGGTCATGCCCACCAACGTGTCACCAGTGTAAGGGCACAGAAATGTGAAGGTCACCCCAGCGTCCCTGAAAGGGCAGCTGAGGCCTCCACTCCACTGAGACCACGCTGCAGCTCACCGTGTCCTCTGACCAGTGCTGCACCTTCCCTTCCCCCTCCTCCCCTGTGGGTACCTTTCCCTAAACAAAAATCTGTACCCCAGAGTCTGACTCCTGAGGAGCCCAGCCAGTCACAGTCAGAGCATATTCAGTGGGGAGACTGGGTTCGAGTTCGGACTGGGTTTGAATCTCTCCTGTTTACTAGCTGTGTGAACTTGGACCTCTCTGGGCCTTAGCTTCCAGGTCTGGGGAATGGACACAATCGTGCACACAGGGCAGTCGTGAGGGTTAAAATCTGGAAAGCATTCAGCACAGCGATGGATGCAATAACCGATGACTAGGAATGTTTGAAATACATCGTCCTGCTCTGCCCTTAACCGGCTGTGACTCAGTAGAGCCATTTTCTCTCTCTGCCTGTTTCCTCTTCCACAAAAAGATGGGTTTGGACTTGCGAAGTATCGCTGACATTTCTTAAACACTCGCTCTT